TAAAGTAATTAAAGGTTCAGATGCTGGTCGAAGAGTCTATTCTTACTAATATTGCATTTATAAATTTTCCTAGATTTAAGAGCGGAATTTTATTTTTCAGATGTGAACAGTTGTTTATATTGAGTAACATCCGGGTCCCGGTAAAAATGTATTTCTAGAAATTTGTATCAGTGTGTCAGCAGACAAAATATTGGGTGGTAAATGCCAGTTAATTTTTCAATAGCTGTTGACAAATGAAACTATACTGGCCATCTTCCAAACTATTTTCGTTACAAAAATGACGACATCTGTGTTTTCTGGGTGTAAACACGCACGACAGTCAGAAAAGGGCACTTCACAATAAAGATAAGTCTTTTGTTCTCGAAATTGGCCGTGACATACGTCAGAAACCAAGCTCGTGTAGATTACATGTTTTCTGCTGCCGCATGGTGTATCAGGAGCAAAATTAATCCTCTTCAAGGCGGATAACAGCAATTACATTCGCCGTGTTTGTCGCTGGTATGAGGAATCTTATTAGCAATGGATTATTTGTAGGTCGTCTTGTCGAGGAATAGTTTATTTCTTGGAATGAGCTTTTCATTATAGGAATATTTTCTTTCTTCTTTGTCACAGATGTTTATGTTTTACTTGCAGTGTAAAAAGCCAACGTAGCATCGAGCTTGAAGATTAAGATTAACAAAAAATTGACCTAGCTTGGGCAAAATCTGAATTACCCCAAGATATAACCACATTTTCTAAGGTCAGTACCACATTGGCTATTTTGCTTCCAGTAAACAAAAAGAAATAAAAAATCAATGTCACTCGGTTGACTTCAAATAAACTGGTTGTGTTTTTTTCTATGTGTGTTTGGTGAGATTTAGATTATGTAACACGCACATCTTCGGGCAAATAATCATTTTCAGGTTTCTTCTTTGTGTAATGTTTTCCACACTCTGTTCTTATGACGGCGTAAAACTGTAAAGAGTAAAAAAGCTGTTAATACGCTAAGTCCCTAAAAGAAAACATATCCTTCTTTCGCTGGATTGTTTAATACAATTCCAATGTTAATTGTAAATCACGTTTGTTGTATCTCCAAAAACACCGCACGTTACTTTAAAAAAGCCATCAAAACCCAGGGGAGGGAAAACAACACTATGGTGGAAGCCGGTTTGGGGGATTTTAGATCACGATATCGCGTTTCCAGTGGTACTTGAGTACTTTGTTGTTTCGTTCTTCAGGGTTTTCTTCTCGGAAACAACCCCTTGGAAACCAAAGTGGAAGACGATCGTGTTTCCAGAAACAGGCGACACGCAACCAAGATCCTTAAAAGCATTGTTAGAATAGCAAATACATTTTGTATACTTATGGTAAAAAAAGAAACCAACATTAAATCACGCTGTGTCAATCATAAACGCGTTTTCTTTAAATTATACTCGTTCTTCGACTCATTGACTTTCTATGTCGTCGCCGCAAAACGCCCAAAACACAAATTACTCATATCCATATGTTCGAATATATCACAGAAATGGTATAATTTTGAAAGCGACCTGTTCGTCGAAAGGGGAGCAGGTGGCTGATCGTGGCTTTTGGATTGGAAATTATGCCTAGATAGTTAAACACACTTCTGAATAATGTAATCCTAAAATTACAGAACACTTTAAGTACTAAAACATACTTCTGAATGATGTAATCCTAAAATAACAGAGCATTTAAAGAATTGTTGTTGAAATATCGATGTTGAAAATGCGACATTTTTTTCATTAGAAGACAGGGTATGTATATTTCACACGTACTTGTAAGTATTTTAGGCAGCAGTCAGAATAGGGCACTAACTAGGTCAAGGGCCAAATATGGCCGACCCACTTGAATACTTCCCAACGGGATATCTATTCAGTGTCTATTAGCGGATAAGACGGCAAGCTTTGTAGTGGGTCACCATATTTGACCCTTGGATAAGTTAGTCCCCTATTCTAAATGGGGCCATAGTGCCATACTTCACTTTGTTTACCTTCATCATCTTCCTCTATGCGTATTTATTTTCTTTTAAGCGTATATCGTGTTGTTCTGGACATGGCACCATTAAACATATCGTATTACTTTATAGAAAGAATATCACACATTTTCCTGGAAACGTCAACAAATTTATCTTCATTACCACCGTATACCATACACAAACCGTTCACAGATTATTTTCCTAAAATCTGCGTTAAATACCGGTTAATACCAGTTATGATGTCTCCAGCGTTTGAGCCAGTTTCGTATATATACAGACTTGACATTTAATATGGTCGGGTTTACAGTGTGTAAAATGAGCTATGCAGTGCTTTACAAATTTATTAATCTGTGGCAGAATGGCGCGAAAAAGACAGGCACTGCCAGACAGATAATTGCGCCAAACGAAACGGTCCGCACAGTTTTATAGAGTAATGCCCAGACTGATTTACCTACACAGAGGCCACACCCAATGTATCGAAATCTTACCACACCTTACAGGACCCACTGTCTTTCGGGATATGCTGTTGCAACTAAACAAAAACCACCCAGTCCGTTCAGAATGAAGGGTAAATTGCCACCAAAACGCATTTTTCAAGGCCCTTAGCGAACACCAAACTGGATTGAGCAGGTTAGAATACCAGATAACCTCCGAGGAACTCACTGTAAACAGCAAAACATCGTCGAATGTTTCTCTAATGAAATGGAGACCTTGTCTGTATCTGGGTTGAACATTGAAATCTCGTGGCTTTCTTTATTGAGGTCAGATTTCACCTGTACCACTCAACAGTCAAAACAGAGCTTACAAACATCCAGAAGAGGCCAACGACGAAGCGTGTGCCGCGTCTAAAGTGACTAAGGTCATTAACAGCGTCAGTATTTGGAGTGGATACCACATTGGTGCCAAAACACCAATGGAAGTCATCGACGAAAACCTGAACCAGATCAAATAAAGGAATAATATAAATAATCTGGGAACCACTTGGCTATCAATTGATAGGGGGCAACTTAGGAACAATTTTAGGTTGCACGGTGAGATTACAGAGCACTTTCAATAGCAGATTACTTAAAGAACCAAGAGAATGAGCAGCTACCTTGGTCATCAAAACCGCCATATTTGAACCACATAGACAATATGTGGGTAGGCCATTACTCGCCGAATCGATGGCCTACATGTCCTACAGCAAAACTGGACCAAATTGGACAGATTTTGAACGATGCCTGGAATGTTATTCCAGATTGAACTTTAAAAACCTATCACAAGGAATCCCTTGTCACTTGAGAGCGCTGGTAGCAGCCAGAAGAGGTCAGGCATAACAGCAACCGTTACTGTGACTAGACACTGACATGAGGGTCCTTTGTGGAGCGTGTAACTCTTTTACAGACAATAATTTGGAAAATATGGAGGTCCAAAACATCTCTTTTAATGGTTGTCGTATGACATAGAATAGACAATGTGTTTTTGTTTGCTTCTCTAGGAGCACTACCCACATGAATCACTGCATATTACATAATGCAGCAGCGCAACAAACCTGGTATTCAGTTAATTGGAAACGACACACCTGACTACACACTTCTCTATTCACATATCTTATATGAGATCGGACTTTTTTGAAAAAAAGAATGCATTTTTACTTAGGCATACCTTCGAAACTGAAATATTCCATATTAAATGTCAAGTCTGTATATATATATATATATATATATATATATATATATATATATATATATATATATATATATATATATATATTTTTTTTTTTTTTTTACCGCTTTTGAAACTTAATTTCAAGCAATACAATGATGGCAAAGATTACAAAAGCAAAAATACAATCTCTCACGAGAAGAATGTACTTCATGTTCTGACCTTTCATCAAACGAGAATGAAATTAATCTCATCGGATTTCAGAAACTGCATGACTAATCGCTTGCAATGATAATGTGAGGTCTGATTTTTTTATGTTTATTTCACCCTCAGGCTTTGAAGTCGAATTGCAACGGAATTAATATTATAGTTATAATACAAACACAACACAAGTACCACAGAAGAAGGGTACATTGACACTGCATTGGAGGCGGCGCTCTTGGAGTCCTGTAAATGGCTCGTTTGCGTAATGGTAATCGAACTTGGGTAAAATTGAATCATTACCGAAACACATTCCATACAGTATGTTCTGCGATATTACTTAATGGCCGCATTCATAACCTATTTATCAGCAGACATATAGGTCCGCGGATCAAATATGGCTAACCCACGTGAAAGCTTACCGCGTTATTCCCGCGGGGAATCTATTCAGTGTCTGTTAGGGGATTATGCTAGGTTAGTCTGCGGATCAGCATGTTCTGGATACCCCCCATGAGACATCACTTCCCTTGTACTAATTGATTCTATAAAAGTAGGTCAGTTTTGAAATAATTATACTTTAACTTCGTCACAAAAATATGAATAGGCGTTGTTGTTGTGCACTGCTTTGTCTTGCAAGTCAAAACCCTCAGCAAACGGGTCTAATGGAGTATACAGGTTCTTGCGAACACTTTCACAGATCAAGAAACGATGCAGAGCAGATCATTATTTATTCTCTTTCTCTGAGGAAAATAAGTCGATATATAATATAACGTCAAGTTGCGATAAAGTAGTAAGCTTAAGTATTGACTTTTCATTAGGTGACATGTTTATATTTGCCATACATTATTGTCAGAGCACTATAATGATAGGGTTGACAAGGAAAGACAAAAAGTCTCTCTCTCTTTGCCCCCACTCCCTCTCTCTGTCTCTCTCTCTCTCTGTCTCTCTCTCTCTCTCTCTCCCTCGATATAAATGCTTTGTTCGTACATTTTGCTTTAGTTCGTGTGTCTTTTTCGTCATCTCGTAAACAATGTCTGAAAACTAACAAGCGCGCTTTTCACAGTATTAACGCCACGACGTCTGTGATTGGCTGAATCCAATTGCAAGCATTGACAAATGTGAGAGAAACGCGTATAACATCTACGCCAGCGACAGCCGTTATTCACCGCCGTTCAACCAACGCCTTCACAGTACACAGGGACCGCTCGACAACGACATCGCCAAACGGAGAAGAATAGTTTTTGACAGGTGGCGGAAACAAGCCAAGAAGAAACAAAAGAAGGTCGATTTGTTTTCTAAACTGACTGAAGCCAGAATTCCTAGTGACGCGTACCTGGCTATATTTTTACTCAGTATAATACCACATTGAATTAGAGGGTTTCTAGAGGTTTTTCAAGGATGTCTGACAGCAAAACCCCAGAATCACCAACAAAGGAACAAGTGGACAACAAGGTACGTGGGCCTTTGAACAATCTGAATGATTTTATAGATATCTTCTATTTCATCTTTTTGTTCTGAAAAAGTATTGTTTCGATTCCTTAAATCAAAAAGGGAATTGATTTTGAATCATTTGATATAAACTGTTTTCGTCAGTATGATTTTTTTGGCTTTACCTGTCCATTTCTGATTGTGAGACTGAAAGTATTATGCAAGCGTGAACTAATTAGTTAATGTGGTGTTTGTTTGTTTTAATAGAAGGTGACATGCAAGTATAAAATGCCACTCGAATCATGTGCATTATTAGCATTATTAATTTCAGATATTCTAGTCGTTTCGGCAGTAATATTTGGAAAAGATTTTCAAAATACGCCCTTTATGAAGTATGTAGTGTTGCAAATTTCTTACATTGAAAAACATATGATTATTTAGCAGTCTGTACATCATCTTGCCTAAACAATTGCTCTTCCAATTTATCAATTCAAGGGATAACAACTCCTAGTTTTGAAAAACAAAAACGGATTTTCCTGGGGGTAAACGACGACTTTTACCATATTTACCATTTGGTTAATGAATCCGTTCCTTCATTCAAAATAAGCCCATTTTTTTATCCTAAAAAGTTTGTTTTTTGTAATGATCTTTTAGAGATGATTACGGAGGTATACCTATCTATGAAGGTCCACGTGGTCTGATGGCAAGCACAGGTTCCAAAATAATGGCGATAACCGTTGTTTAGGTGGTACAATGTACAATAGAATTTATTTTATTTCCGTAAGTTGTTTTTAATCCATTTTGTATGAAATATGAATCTCATACCCACAGTTGTTATCCCTTCAAGGCAGATCGGGGTGTTTTCGTAATTAACCTTTTCACAATTTACTCCTCCGTTTTTTAAATATCTACAATATGCGCCATTATCTGTTTAATATTGGTGACAAACACGCAGTGCTAATTGTCTCAGTGCAAGAACTGCCATGTCACCAACAATCCCGGTATATGCATACGCTCTCTCGAGAGAGCATCAAGGAAGCGACATCCATTCTACTGCCGACAGGAATAGACACCGTCATGTTTTTCTTTATTGAAGACGTATTTTATGTTAACGCACAATTGACCAAGTAGAAACGCAAGTAGTTAGCTACGCTCCTTGCTATAATTTCCGGATGACAGTCTTTCCCGCTGTATCCATTGTGTATAATGACAAGATGTTTTTTTCCCTACTTAATCCGGTGTCGGTCTCGCAAATTGAATAGGCTATATTATATTATATCACTGATCCAACAAGTGTGCGAGACACGAGTATGATAAGGTTAATTTATACTAGATTTATATAATTCATGGTTATGGAGAATGTTGCCCTTTACGTTTGAGGCATATGGCTGGAACCAGAACACACAGAGATAAATACATATAAACTGTGAAATAACAGTTACTGGCAGAAAATATTTCTGGAAATTAAGAAGGAAAGATGCCACATGATGAATGTAACAAAGTAGATTTGCGTAAAGGCCTTTAAACATTTGCCTTCATGCAATGTTTAAATCGTAACAGTTTCAAAAGAGATTTAATTTTTATTAATGAGGCCAGATGCGATCGAGACGCTGTGGCGAAATATCGAAAAACACAAAAAAGCTCAGTTTCTTTAAGAACCATTTTTACGGCTTCCAATCATGATCGAGATTGTGGTTTCGACTGAAGTGCCGTTCGGAATCTATTATTATAGTGCTGTCGGGTTAAAACAATTAGCAATGAACATGCTACAGTATTCAGCGAGCAAGCATCAGAGAAAACCCGGCAAATTGAGAGTTCGTTTTAAGGCCCCATTCCCATAGACACCGGCGGTCTACGTGGATCTACGTCGGATCCACCCAGCTTTGCGGGGGTTCTTGCTGACTGCAAGCAGCTTCACTGAATGACACTCCTCCTCATTAGCGGGCGTTAAGTACACTATAGAATACAGAAAAACTGGTAATAAGAGGAGGGGTGCCATCCAGTGTAGCTGATTGCACTCAGCGAGAGTCCCTTCAGAGATGGTAGATCCACGTAGGCCGATGGTGTCTATTGGAATGGGATCTAAGACTTTGGCAGGAAATCACTGCTGCCTAATCACATTGGCAAATTTACTGCCAAACGAAACATTTATTTCACTATAATCTGAGACTAATAGCTGTCAAGCTCTAGTATTAAATATTAAGTATAATTTGAATAAGGTAAAGGGTTTATCGACAACGTGATTGGAACAGGTTTGTTAAACCTGGCAGTAAATATGATTTAGTATATTTATATAAATAATTTTCATACGTAAGCTTTCACGATAATTTAAACAATCCGCAGTTCTCAATTAGTCTAGTGGTCCGTAATTTACTCATTTCTTGGCTTTCTTCCGTCTTTTTTCTCTCTTTTCTTTATATAACATTGTTTGTATTCATCTCTTGACGTTTATTTCCCTCTTTTCGTTAGTTTTTAAAACTAGACGATCTCAAATCTACTGCAGACTACATGTAACACAAAATCAGGTAGATAAGAAAAAAGCGTTCAGTTACAATATACTGTACATGTATGATATGTAAATAGTGAGACTCTACTTAGTCAGTTAGTTAGTAAGTTAGTTAGTTAGTAAGTTAGTTAGTAAGTAAGTAAGTTAGTTAGTTAGTTTATTGCCTAGTATTGTCTGGGCAAAGCGATACAATGTTAAGGATTATAAATAGGATTTGACCGACTGCGTACATTAAATATAAATAAGTTGTTTAAAAGGTTATCTTAAAGGTCTGCATTGAAAGTTGTGAAACAAACTCGTTACCTTGAAATGGTCCACACATAAACAATCCTACTTGGAGGCCTACGTAGAATTATTGACCACAAATACTCCATAAATGTTTAATTGCGTCTTGGATGCCTTTCTAAGAGGGCAAAATGCAATATTTATTTATTTTTTTACTTCGCGCAAAAAAACTTAATACTTAAAGACGCCTTCAATGCCAGCCCTTTTCAAGCATTTGCATTCATCGGCGGACCCGAATAGATTTAATTAGCGAAATAAAGCCATGTCATAAACGTAAGTCTTCTGTAGAGAAAAAATACATAAACGTCCTGGAAATATAATATTTAGACAGAAAGAGCTCAAAAACAGGTTGAGAGATAATTCGTTTTGCAGTCGATTTGAGTATATCCAGGAAATCATTTTTGCTATATAACGATCGGAAAACCTTTGTGATCGTCGCACAACATTTGTGACTAAACCAACAGCAAAGTGTGTGCGCGTGTGTTTGTGTGTGTGTGTGTGGGGGGACTGGAATTGGAAAGAAACAAACGCCCTTCGATAAATAAATAAATAAATGAAAACATCTTTAATCAAAAACTGATCCTGATTCTATAAACATGTATATGTTTCGCGGTATAGACAGGACTTTATTCCTGTACAAGAACTCTCCTCCTGTGACATTTTGGCTGAAGGTCAACTGATAGTAAACATGCTGTATACTCACCTCCTCTGGCTTTGACATTTACAAAGTGTATACCCATACTTACTTTACACATACTAATTACTGTATACACACATACCAATATACACATTGATTGATTTGCGAAATGAGATTTAAGAATTTAAGACTAAGTATTTCGCTCATGGCATAACAATTTTTGTCAGCTTTCAAATTGCTTTTTCGTGTTAGAAGTAAAAGCAATACCTTATTCAGTGTTATCTATCGCAATTCTCTGAAAAGAACGATTCAATTTTTTTAATTAAATCAAATGTAGTAAATTTAAATATGATTATTTCATTATGCACACATTAAGAATAATAACCATATCAAATACATTGTGTATGAGAGTGCGGGGTGAAAGCTTACCTTTTTAACCTCTGAAAGTTGTTTTTTCTGTGAAAATATAAAAAATAGATGCTGTGTATATATGTCCTTGTAACAGTGATATTTCCCGCTATGACAGGAACGGTAGTCCGCTAGGAACCGTAGTCCGTTCTCCATTACTATGCACAGGTGACCTTCGTCCCATATACCAACCGCAATACTCCGACTAACCCTAACTGTACTTACTAATCATGTGGGAGTTCGGACGTCCATTACTAGGATTACCATTCCTGTCTCGCCGGTTGACAGCTAGCAACCTTCATCTCCATCTGATGATTAGTATACTATAATACTGATTATAACAGGAGTCAATGACAAACTGATTCACTGGGGTGGATTGAAGCCGTATTCTGGGTCTTCCGGAAGTTTGTCAGATTTTCAAATTTACATGGTCGGGTATCCATTTTTTTCTGTCGGAGGACTGTCAAAAATGTAAGATGGATAAACAAAGATAATTTTTAAGATTGTCAGAAAATATATCTGGATCCGCCCCTGAATACATGTATCTTTTGAGTTCATACAATGGACATGGCATTTTTACATAATACAAATCAATTCGCCTCTATGGCTCTATTCCCATAGATTTTAGATCGATCTATCCCCGCGGGGAGTCTCACTAGATTACTTTCAGATAATCCGACTTAAATGTCCGTCCCGCCTACTACAAGCTGTAAGAGGGTAATTAACTTTCGTGTCCGCCCGGCTGACAGCTATTTAGCGTGAACCCCCAGGGAGTTAGGTCGATCTAAAGTAGGTCGATCTAATCTATGGAAATGGGGTGTAAGACTTAATACTTTACCCGTCAGAGCTATGATACCCAATATGCATAACTGTTAGCAAAATTAGAATTTTTAAACCTGTTCTCGAGTTTTAAAAAATTCAATTTCGGTCACTCCGGCTTTGTAGATGGACACACTCACACACACAGAAATAAAATAAGATAAATGATAAGAGCAAAAGCAAAAAAGAAAGAAATCAAATCCAAATAAATGAATAGAAATGAAAGATGGAGAGAGACTTTAATGCAGAAAGTAGCTTAGGTAATTTGTGATTTGAGCTCTTTGTTGTCAATCTGTGGCACGGAATGTCGTGTCGCATTTGTAAACAATTTTCTTTCTCACCATGGCTTCGTTGTTACTTCGTTTCTTCGCACTTGTCACGAAAATATCGACTTTCAACTGATTAGCTCGACAAGAAGCTTGGAGATTAGGGCCCCGATCATGGCAACACCGCCAGAATTATGAAAGCAGTTTTGTTTTACATTCGATGAACAGGCGCCTTTATGCCAGGCATGCAGGTCTTTCTTTATCCTTGGCATTTCAAAACCTGTGCGGCATTCTGCCTGAACACGAAAAACATTTGCTTTCCTTTAACTTTGAGGTGGAAATTTATCAACTTCTCTTTTTGCTCTGTGATGTGTGTCGATCTGCTTGCGGCAACCCGCCAGCAACAAGATTATTTATTTATACTGCCCTTCTGTCTCTCTCTCTTTCTCTTTTTCTCTCTCACGCATAAGCGTGCGCGCGCACACACACACACACACACACACACACACATTTATATATATATATATATATATATATATATATATATATATATATATATAGAGAGAGAGAGAGAGAGAGAGAGAGAGAGAGAGAGAAAGAGTCTCTCTATTTATTTCTCTTATCTAGTTATTATGGTTTTGCGTTTTTGCAAACAAAGCTCATAAGAAAATCTTGTTCCATAATTACCAAAACATCTCTTGATATCTTGAAGAGTTCAAGACGAGCACGTCAGCAAGCTAATAACTGCTGATAATTGGTCTGCAACGGATAATCAGATTTCACTTCACGCGATGACACGTGCTCTCGAGCTAGCGGATTCTGCATGTTGCTAATAGGGGCACGCAAAAGGTTCATATACATTTGTCACTCGGACAGAGGGATATTTTAACGTAATACCCTTATAGAGATGGGGGATCGCTTGCTTTTGTCTAGTTCTCGTTTTCCTCGTCAGGCCCGTAGCCAGCAATTCTTTTCTGAAAAAGTGGACCTTTTATCATGAATCCTTCTTGTACGTAGATCAAATTTTACCCAGAGGGGACCTTTCCCCAACAAAAAAGGGGGGGTCTTTCGAACCCCCCCCCCCTCTGCTACGGGCCTGCTCGTTATATTGATTATCAAAGAAGGGTGAGGGTATGTCATTAGTTAAGGGGGCGGGGTGGGGCATGTACTTGCTGCAACCTTCCCTCAGCTGGATAAAAGCACCCCAACCGCCAATTCCCCAACTGCCACCTCCGTTGTCCAAAACTGAAGTTCCTGTTCTTAACTATACACATTTGTGTGAGTCCTTCATTCCGTTCCCTTGCGCTGGTTAATTTCTTCAACATAAAGCGTCACCTTCAAACGATCACGTACATACGGTTGGATCAGGTTGTAACGTGATCGCTATAATGTCAATTTTATTCAGCTCACGATGCGTCACTAAAACCGCTTACGCCTGAGCAGAGAACGTTAAATATCATTGTCTTCCAGGAGGCAGAAGACAAGAAAGACAAAATGGCGTACGAAAATGATTCTGAGAAGGGAGATAATGAACCTGAAAAGTGTGAAAAGAACGAAAATGAGGAGAATGAAAAAAACGCCAAGAATGGAAGTATCAAAAGCAAGAAAAAAATCAAGACTGGTGAGTTTTTTTTTCATTGAAAACCTGTTACTAAATAGATGCAAATCACATACACTTAAACAGATACTCCTGAATGGGAAAAAAACACTTAAAATGAGTAGAAGTAATATTTATAAATATATTCATACATTAAGGGAATACGAGCCATACACTCCAGTATGATGGCGACTCTCACTGCCATCTTTCTTATTTTATCTCTCTCTCTCTCTCTCTCTGGTAAATAACAAGATTTCACCGCAAACCAAGTTATTATTGTGTTTACTTTCTGTCAAAACCTACCTTATTTAATCTACCACTATTTTATTAGATTTTATTTCCGTATGTCAGGCTGTGGATATTACATTCAATCTGATGGTACTGCATTAACTACCGGAAAATAGTTGACGGTCTTTATTTTGTTTGTATGTCCGCCAGATTTTTTAATCACTGATCTTCCTTTAGACGGAGACGCGGAAGGTGGGAACAATGGCGAGTATACGGAGGAGGAGCTGGCCGAATTGGAAGCCATCGAGAAGGAAAATAAGAATGATTGTTACTACGTGCTGTTGGCGATTGTCTTGGGAATGGGGCTCTTTGGGGTGTTGGTTTATTTCTCTGGTGAGTGATATACATTATCTGTAAATTCTAGCACATATTTACACAGAGATTTACAAAAGGAGAGGAAGTAATGGTGTAAGTTTATATATATACACATATATACTGTTCAAATGACTTTCTTATCGAACTTTTTAAACTGTATACTGTAAATATATTTGGTGCCCAAACGTGATTTATAGAACGATCTTACATGCACGTATTTCTTTTCGTATCATAGGTATTTTTTTATCTTTTAGACTTCAACTTATTTGTGCAAACATACGAGTCCCGTTCATATACGTCCTGACAAATGCTGCTTATGAAACTGATTTCTTTCTGGTTTTTTTCTTATTTTTTCAGTTCAAAGCTTTTTCCTGGAGCAGAAGATACCTGCAGCAGGTTACAACGGTGTGTCTTCCCCTTTCTCTCTTTGTCTCTCTTAGTGTCCCTCTCTCTATCTCTCGTTCTCTCTCTCTCTCTCTTTCTCTCACTCTCTCTCTCTCTCTCTCTCTCTCTCTCTGTCACACACACACACACACACACACACACACGTTACTTCCAATTAAAATGACCAAATAGGAGTAAAATTGACGCCTGGCCAATAAAATTTTGTATCCGTCATCAGTCCCTGGACACTTTCTGCCTTAGTCCCGCTGGACTTTGAACACTGGCGTATATACTACTTTTATTCCCTATCAACTCATCGTTGCTTTATCCTTAATTAAGCCTCTCTGTCGCCGCCTAACACTACCATGATACCGAATACCACTATCACCGACGCCAAGACGACTACGACTTCTACTACTACTACTACTGCGCCGGTGCCTGCTTTGTTCAACTCGCGTTTTGGGGGTAAGTTGACAGACTCAAGCGCACAAAAGGATTGCATAAGCTGAGAAAAAAACATAGACCTTCAACACATATAAAGAAAGTTTTTGGTCGCCTGTGGTACTTTAATTTACACGCTAACTAAAGGAAAACTAAGTTAGTCTGTTCATTGATTGCATTCAACGAGCATTCGGACTAGCTAGATTTATTGACAATAGATTTATTGGACATTAGATTTATTGTGAACGCATCCCTCATTTTAAACTTTACTGATAGGGAAAGTCATACGGTGTCGTGTAAAACGTCTGCTTTATTTCAGGTGATCGCTCAGCACTTACGAGGCAAGCATCACCCATGCGACTTGCACCTCAAGGTTAGTCAGTTTTCATTTTTTGAAGGCCCTGCGTTTTTTGTTTTTATATTCTATATATCTATTTGGCGAGCCCTATTTATCTGTTTCGCGGAAATCGATTGCTTCGATTACGGTACTAGTGCAATGTGAGCATTGTGTAATTGACCTATTACACTGGAAACAGTTCGGTTTTTTCTATTTGCGCGACGGTTCCTTGTGGCGTCTCTTGTTTCATCGAGGCATACAGTTATGATATACTTACCGTTACCACGGAAGGTTATGGACAGAAAATTATACCGTCAAAGAAAATGTCCGATATTGTGTGTTTATTTGCTAATTTCTATTTAAGAATAAATCGCACTAGCTTGTTTTGTTAGCAAGCAGTCAGACGAAGGCTCAACCTCAAATTTGTGTAGTTTGAAATTTGTTTTTTACCTGTAATACAAACAGGATGGAGTTTGGGCAGTAGATTCAGTAGATTCAGCTGTCCAACAGTTTGCAGTCAGAGGTCAATTCTTTTGCAGGTCTTCAGTAGAATCGGACCTTGATCTCTTTCTGATTTTGCAGATGACGTTGCCAGTGCATCTACAACTACCACCGCCGCCCCAACTACTGCCAGAGCACGTCAACCGGAAACAAGGATGCTGAGGAGATTGACACCATGTGAGTAGAATCTCTCTCTCTCTCTCTCTCTCTCTCTCTCTCTCTCGATATGCTTGGGACATTCATTTTTGATGCCCATGTATATTCTCTACCCTCTACCAGGGCCACAGATTGATTTTTTCACTAGATATTAACAGATATGTCTCTGGTTAAATAGATGGCTTATCTCTGTACTGTGACCCTGTGCTGAAATCTCAAGGATGATTACATGGCTGGTAACTGTTTGCATAACTACTCAGGCACTGTCATTTAGCAAGGCCCTGCCAAGTCCCCTTGACAGTAATCAAGACAGTTAATTGCTCATTTGTGACAACAAAAACAGACCTTTAGCAGACAGACAAGACAAGGCAGGTTACGTAACAAGCTTTAATTACATTGGCGCGAAGCCCATGTCTCACTGAGCTCCTGCAGAGCAGGTCAATGGCATCTGCGCGCGTGCAGATTTAATTGCTCCCATCTGACCAAACGTTACAGGGTCGCCTCAGCACAAATGTCCACAACAATAACTGCAGCCCTGCGGCCTAAATATTTTCCATCAGCAGCAGTACACGAACGTTTACTGTGTAAAGCGAATTATCCACCCACTTACGAACACATGCACATGACATTATGGCGACATGCTTTGCTTTATTCACTGCGCCTTATGCATCTACATGGGCGGAGGAAATTGTAGAATAGAAGTGTAACTATAGTTACTTATGCTATTAAGCAATGATACAATCTGATTAATCGTAAAATAATGGAGATATTTGTCTGAGCCCAAGTCATAGTTACTTGTGAACTCCCTGTAGATACAGCACTGTTGTCTAGATATCTCTTTGTAAGGGCAATGTGCTAATGCAATCGGGGTTTCGTTCTTTTGGCATTTCGTAATAATGACAAACTTTTATCTATTGTCCCTTGGCCAAAGTTTGTATGGTGTTTTGAAAATATCTAGTATAATGTAGTTCGCAGGTCGTTGTAAGGGGGGGGGGGCACTTTGTAAGAAAGTGATTTTCATCTTTAGTTTTGTCTTTGGGGCAGTAATAGCATGTGTTTCGAACCGAGGGTTGTTTTTTATCTTCCTGTTTCAATGTGGAATTTATGCCCACCATGCGAAACAACTTACTGTGTTTCTTTTTGCAACATTCTTTAAAACACCCAGATCTTTTTTTGGCGTGCATGTTTGAATTGATGGTTCTAAGTGAAGATTTTCCCGCAAATTCACTGTGCCAGTTTTGTATGATAATCTGTCCTCTGAAGGTACTGAGGAATTTTACATGTGTTGTCTGGTTTGGACATACAATTCCAAATCCATTTCAAATGAGAGTTTCATGATACCTTCACTGCATTAAAAGGTTATCTCCTTTCATGTTTGATAACATTTGTGTTGAGAGCAATTTGAAATAATCGATTTCATCTAGAAATGCTTAAGTAAATTACTATCATCCAAGTGTAATATTTTAAGTACATGCATATGTGCACTCTGAAAGGTAACTCTGTCACTCTGGAAGGCATTGATTGTTCTGTGTTGTTCTTTGTTTTCAGAATTTAGCGAAGTGTGACGTCGCAGTTCCAAAACAAGATTTCACTGGAAAACTATGGCGACGAAATTGCGATCTAATACACTAGAGTTGTGTGATTCTTTATGTTATAGTTGAAAACAGAATATACAAATTAAATATTTTGCTCAATAGGAGGTATCTTGTGAAAAAAAAATAGAATGTTGATTTATAATTTTGGAGATAAACGTGTTATTTTAATCCAAAGAGGGAAAGGTTAATTTTTTATCAGCAGACTTTTTTCTGTTTTTGCAAATTTTTCCTTTACATGAGGTATTATTAATACAAAATATTATTACAATATTAAAATATTAATACAAAATACTTCAGTATGGAAAGGGAGATTAACGACAATATACAGTACAACATGCACGACATTTTCTGAATGAACTGGAGATTTGAAGTCAGGAACACTTATCCTTAATACAAAATTCAAAAACTGAAAAGGAACCAACATAGACAACAAACCAGAAAGCAATTTAATTTTACTTCTCTACTTTTGATTTTAGGTAAAATTTAAGGTTTTGTCTTGTTTTAAACTGATGCGATTTGATAGCTATTCGCACATATATATGCATATATATATATATATTTATGTATACGGATTTCAGAGAAACAGTCATATAAGATTCTTTAAGAGATATCATGCACGTAAAACCTTAATGTATTAAAAATAATCTTAACACCTTTCTGTAAATCACCAAGGTATATATATATATATATATATATATATATATATATATATATATATATATATATATATATATGATAAGTCTTTGTCCCATTTTTACTTTTTAATTTTTGGCTTTCAAATAAAATTTATCAGGCCCCATCTCCAAAAGATAGTGACCCAAAAGTTAGACAAACGGGTTTATAGGTAGTTATTTTGTCAACTGTACTGACTATGATATATCTTCGTGATTAAGAGAAACGTGTTTGGATGACAGGGGAACTTTTAAAGAAAATGCAAAATTAATATTCAATCGGCATCTTGTGTCTTACATATTTTATAATTTTTGCGTTAAGGTTGTTGAGGGGAGGAANTAGCCCCGGTCTCCCCTACTTGCTGCAACCTTCCCTCAGCTGGATAAAAGCACCCCAACCGCCAATTCCCCAACTGCCACCTCCGTTGTCCAAAACTGAAGTTCCTGTTCTTAACTATACACATTTGTGTGAGTCCTTCATTCCGTTCCCTTGCGCTGGTTAATTTCTTCAACATAAAGCGTCACCTTCAAACGATCACGTACATACGGTTGGATCAGGTTGTAACGTGATCGCTATAATGTCAATTTTATTCAGCTCACGGTGTGTCACTAAAACCGCTTACGCCTGAGCAGAGAACGTTAAATATCATTGTCTTCCAGGAGGCAGAAGACAAGAAAGACAAAATGGCGTACGAAAATGATTCTGAGAAGGGAGATAATGAACCTGAAAAGTGTGAAAAGAACGAAAATGAGGAGAATGAAAAAAACGCCAAGAATGGAAGTATCAAAAGCAAGAAAAAAATCAAGACTGGTGAGATTTTTTTTCATTGAAAACCTGTTACCAAATAGATGCAAATCACATACACTTAAACAGATACTCCTGAATGGGAAAAAAACACTTAAAATGAGTAGAAGTAATATTTATAAATATATTCATACATTAAGGGAATACGAGCCATACACTCCAGTATGATAGCGACTCTCACTGCCATCTTTCTTATTTTCTCTGTCTCTCTCTGGTAAATAACACTATTTCACCGCAAACCAAGTTATTATTGTGTTTACTTTCTGTCAAAACCTACCTTATTTAATCTACCACTATTTTATTAGATTTTATTTCCGTATGTCAGGCTGTGGATATTACATTCAATCTGATGGTACTGCATTAACTACCGGAAAATAGTTGACGGTCTTTATTTGGTTTGTATGTCCGCCAGATTTTTTAATCATTGATCTTCCTTTAGACGGAGACGCAGAAGGTGGGAACAATGGCGAGTATACGGAGGAGGAGCTGGCCGAATTGGAAGCCATCGAGAAGGAAAATAAGAATGATTGTTACTACGTGCTGTTGGCGATTATCTTGGGAATGGGGCTCTTTGGGGTGTTGGTTTATTTCTCCGGTGAGTGATATATATATATATATATATATATATATATATATATATATATATATATATATATATTATCTGTAAATTCTAGCACATATTTACACAGAGATTTACAAAAGGAGAGGGAATAATGGTTTAAGTGTAATATATACACATCTATACTGTTCAAATTACTTTCTTATCGAACTTTTTAAACTGTATGCTGTATATACATTTGGTGCCCAAACGTGATTTATAGAACGATCTTACATGCACGTATTTCTTTTCGTATCATAGGTATTTTTTAATCTTTTAGACTTCAACTTATTTGTGCAAACATACGAGTCCCGTTCATATACGTCCTGACAAATGCTGCTTATGAAACTGATTTCTTTCTGGTTTTTTTCTTATTTTTTCAGTTCAAAGCTTTTTCCTGGAGCAGAAGATACCTGCAGCAGGTTACAACGGTGTGTCTTCCCCTTTCTCTCTTTGTCTCTCTTAGTGTCCCTCTCTCTATCTCTCGTTCTCTCTCTCTCTCTTTCTCTCACTCTCTCTCTCTCTCTCTCTCTGTCACACACACACACACACACACACACACACACACACACACGTTACTTCCAATTAAAATGACCAAATAGGAGTAAAATTGACGCCTGGCCAATAAAATTTTGTATCCGTCATCAGTCCCTGGACACTTTCTGCCTTAGTCCCGCTGGACTTTGAACACTGGCGTATATACTACTGTTATTCCCTATCAACTTATCGTTGCTTTATCCTTAATTAAGCCTCTCTGTCGCCGCCTAACACTACCATGATACCGAATACCACTATCACCGACGCCAAGACGACTACGACTTCTACTACTACTACTACTGCGCCGGTGCCTGCGTTGTTCAACTCGCGTTTTGGGGGTAAGTTGACAGACTCAAGCGCACAAAAGGATTGCATAAGCTGAGAAAAAACCATAGACCTTCAACACATATAAAGAAAGTTTTGGTCGCCTGTGGTACTTTAATTTACACGCTAACTAAAGGAAAACTAAGTAAGTCTGTTCATTGATTGCATTCAACGAGCATTCCCGTAGAGTTAGTGCGGACTAGCTAGTGCGATAGATTTATTGTGAACGCATCCCTCATTTTACTGATAGGGAAAGTGATACGGTGTCGTGTAAAACGTCTGCTTTATTTCAGGTGATCGCTCAGCACTTACGAGGCAAGCATCACCCATGCGACTTGCACCTCAAGGTTAGTCAGTTTTCATTTTTTGAAGGCCCTGCGTTTTTTGTTTTTATATTCTATATATCTATTTGGCGAGCCCTATTTATCTGTTTCGCGGAAATCGATTGCTTCGATTACGGTACTAGTGCAATGTGAGCATTGTGTAATTGACTTATTACACTGGAAACAGTTCGGTTTTTTCTATTTGCGCGACGGTTCCTTGTGGCGTCTCTTGTTTCATCGAGGCATACAGTTATGATATACTTACCGTCACCACGGAAGGTTATGGACAGAAAATTATACCGTCAAAGAAAATGTCCGATATTGTGTGTTTATTTGCTAATTTCTATTTCAGAATAAATCGCACTAGCTTGTTTTGTTAGCAAGCAGTCAGACGAAGGCTCAGCCTCAAATTTGTGTAGTTTGAAAATTGTTTTTTACCTGTAATACAAACAGGATGGAGTCTGGGCAGTAGATTCAGTAGATTCAGCTGTCCAACAGTTTGCAGTCAGAGGTCAATTCTTTTGCAAGTCTTCAGTAGAATCGGACCTTGATCTCTTTCTGATTTTGCAGATGACGTTGCCAGTGCATCTACAACTACCACCGCCGCCCCAACTACTGCCAGAGCACGTCAACCGGAAACGAGGATGCTGAGGAGATTGACACCATGTGAGTAGAATCTCTCTCTCTCTCTCTCTCTCTCTCGATATGCTTGGGACATTCATTTTTGATGCCCATGTATATTCTCTACCCTCTACCAGGGCCACAGATTGATTTTTCACAAGATATTAACAGATATGTCTTTGGTTAAATAGATGGCTTATCTCTGTACTGTGACCCTGTGCTGAAATCTCAAGGATGATTACATGGCTGGTAACTGTTTGCATAACTACTCAGGCACTGTCATTTAGCAAGTCCCTGCCAAGTCCCCTTGACAGTAATCAAGACAGTTAATTGCTCATTTGTGACAACAAAAACAGACCTTTAGCAGACAGACAAGACAAGGCAGGTTACGTAACAAGCTTTAATTACATTGGCGCGAAGCCCATGTCTCACTGAGCTCCTGCAGAGCAGGTACAATGGCATCTGCGCGCGTGCAGATTTAATTGCTCCCATCTGACCAAACTTTACAGGGTCGCCTCAGCACAAATGTCCACAACAATAACTGCAGCCCTGCGGCCTAAATATTTTCCATCAGCAGCAGTACACGAACGTTTACTGTGTAAAGCGAATTATCCACCCACTTACGAACACATGCACATGACATTATGGCGACATGCTTTGCTTTATTCACTGCGCCTTATGCATCTACATGGGCGGAGGAAATTGTAGAATAGAAGTGTAACTATAGTTACTTATGCTATTAAGCAATGATACAATCTGATTAATCATAAAATAATGGAGATATTTGTCTGAGCCCAAGTCATAGTTACTTGTGAACTCCCTGTAGATACAGCACTGTTGTCTAGATATCTCTTTGTAAGGGCAATGTGCTAATGCAATCGGGGTTTCGTTCTTTTGGCATTTCGTAATAATGACAAACTTTTATCTATTGTCCCTTGGCCAAAGTTTGTATGGTGTTTTGAAAATATCTAGTATAATGTAGTTCGCAGGTCGTTGTAAGGGGGGCACTTTGTAAGAAAGTGATTTTCATCTTTAGTTTTGTCTTTGGGGCAAACCGAGGTAGGTTTTTTATCTTCCTGTTTCAATGTGGAGGTTATGCCCACCATTCGAAACAACTTACTGTGTTTCTTTTTGCAGCATTCTTTAAAACATCCAGATATTCTTTTTTTGCGTGCATGTTTGAATTGATGGTTCTAAGTGAAGATTTTCCCGCAAATTCACTGTGCCAGTTTTGTATGATAATCTGTCCTCTGAAGATACTGAGGAATTTTACATGTGTTGTCTGGTTTGGACATACAATTCCAAATCCATTTCAAATGCGAGTTTCATGATACCTTCACTGCATGAAAGGTTATTTCCTTTCATGTTTGATAACATTTGTGTTAAGAGCAATTTGAAATAATCGATTTCATCTAGAAATGCTTAAGTAAATTACTATCATCCAAGTGTAATATTTTAAGTACATGCATATGTGCACTCTGAACGGTAACTCTGTCACTCTGGAAGGCATTGATTGTTCTGTGTTGTTCTTTGTTTTCAGAATTTAGCGAAGTGTGACGTCGCAGTTCCAACACAAGATTTCAATGGAAAACTATGGCGACGAAATTGCGCTCTAATACACTAGAGTTGTGTGATTCTTTATGTTATAGATGAAAAAAGAATAGACAAATTAAATATTTTGCTCAATAGGAGGTATCTTGTGAAAAAAAATAGAATGTTGATTTATAATTTTGGAGATAAACGTGTTTTTTTAATCCAAAGAGAGAAAGGTTAATTTTTTATCAGCATACTTTTTTCCGTTTTTGCAAATTTTTCCTTTACATTAGGTATTATTAATACAAAATATTATTACAATATTAAAATATTAATACAAAATACTTCAGTATGGAAAGGGAGATTAACCACATTATACAGTACAACATGTACGACATTTCCTGAATGATCTGGAGATTTGAAGTCAGGAACACTTTATCCTTAATACAAAATTCAAAAACTGAAAAGGAACCAACATAGACAACAAACCAGAAAGCAATTTAATTTTACTTCTCTACTTTTGATTTTAAGTGAAATTTAAGGTTTTGTCTTGTTTTAAACTTATGCGATTTGATAGCTATTCGCACATATATATGCATATATATTTATTTATGTATACGGATTTCAGAGAAACAGTCATATAAGATTCTTTAAGAGATATCATGCACGTAAAACCTTTATGTATTAAAAACAATCTTAACACCTTTCTGTAAATCACCAAGTAAATCATCATATATATATATGATAAGTCTTTGTCCCATTTTTACTTTTTCATTTTTAGCTTTCAAGTAAAATTTATCAGGCTTCGTCTCCAAAAGATAGTGACCCAAAGGTTAGACAAACGGGTTTATAGGTAGTTATTTTGTCAACTGTACTGAATATGATATATCTTGGTGATTAACAGAAACGTGTTTGAATGACAGGGGAACTTTTAAAGAAAATGCAAAATTAATATTCAATCGGCATCTTGTGTCTTACATATTTTATAATTTTTGCGTTAAGATTGTTGAGGGGAGGGATTTAGAAGTACTCATTTCCTTTAAAATATTTTTACTCGGTTCGTTTTTAGCGCACTGCAGTAGTAAAGATGCTTTGTAGATTAGATATTGTCTTCAGTTGTACTGATAGGAAAGCAACCGGTTCTTAGTAACGTATAAACTCGCTTATTCTAGTGTGATACTTATTTCGAATGAGACTTGATAAATCCAGATCCTCTCTAAATCAATGGCACTAAAACCTTCATATAAAGCCGGTTGTTTGGACAAGAATATAAAAAAAAATTGACTTAGGATTTAAAATTCTGAATGAGTGGGTTCTTGGTTCCTTAATGTGTAAACTAAATCATTGATTTGAGTATGACACTAAAATCAGTGTGAAAATCTATAGCTATAGTAGTGTGAAAACGTATCAAATGTGCACACAGACAGAAACTAATACACACGCGCGCAGGTACGATCTGCAATGTTTTTACTTTGTAATTATAACCTCTATAATTTTCCACGAAGTTGAATGTTAGAATTAGTTTGAGGGGGTGAAATGAGTCAAAACTATGTGATAGCTGCCTAAATCATCACTGAAATGTCTGTCAACGTGCAATAATAACACAGCTATTCGTGAAGCACTTACCGCACAAAATGCTGTATTATATCTAACCTATGTTTCATATTCGGAATTATGTTGTTTCATAATTTTTTTTTTGATTTTTTTAATCGAAAGGGATACATGAAGATTTTTTAAGAATGGCGTCATTTGCTTTCATTTGGTGAGATTCATGTTAAGGGCAGAACACGCAAAGACGACCGGGAGTGACCGGTAGCATTATATTTGTTGTCTTCTGAGATGATGCAAAGCGCTAGTAGGGCAGAAAAGACCTTGTCAACAATGCATTTCTGACAGAGTTCTTCTGAAAGTGAGGCATAATGACGTCATTGTGAAATCTCTGGCAGATATACATAATACTAAGATCCAACTGTGATGGGGATTCTCCCTAAGTGCACTCAATGTAATCGGTTTTAATGTCTGCCACGCCTCCTCGGGCTACAAGGGGGTAAGTAAGCCGAACGCACACACAAATGAATTACCCGCTAGCCACCAAGGAGATGTGTCAAATAATTAAGCTGATTACACTGAATGCAATTAGTGATAATTCCCTGCAGAGTTGGATCGATCCAGCTGGTGCAAAGTTTGAATTTGAACGCGGTCTATCTATCAATCTAGATGTATTTCTAACCCTCAGAACCCCCTGGCAACGGGCCTGTCTACTATGTCTTGGGTATAAGTATCTATACAATCAGTAGACATTAATTCATTAGGTAGTGCATGCCCATTCAATGGCAACCTATTTCACAGTTATGAAAACATGTCCTCGTATTATGAGTATTAAAAGTAAGAATAGTGATAACAATGTAGCGTAAAGAGCTCCCATCTATAAATGTGTGAAAATGAATCGGATAACAGCATAGTGAGATTAAGAGTATCTTCTACTAGATATATAAGGTTCTTAAGAAAGAGAGGAAACCATTGCTATAGACATGGCAAGAATATAGATAGAATTTCGGATATAGACGACAGTCTTATAAAAGTCACATTAATCAACACGCGTAAGAACTAAGGTAGCCTTGGCAACGGTTGTCATTGGTTCCGATGGGTTATTATCTAAAACGTAGAAGAAGTAGGTGAACATTCTCCTATTGTGATGTGCAGCAAATGTTCCTGGAGTTGAAAATTATCTTTTTAGCCGTCATTGTCAGGAAAAGAATGCAAACCCAAACGTCACGCCAGACACGCTTAAGAATGTAAAAGAGACGCTTTGGGTTTAAGCACAAACAATGGCCGCGCTCGTTTGTGTTCTGATGTTACACTGTATCGTGGGTTACGATGCTTGCTCTGCGTAACACTACGTTATAAAACTGGGGAAAAATTCTGTGAAATAGTAGAGGACTGTGTCCTAAGTCCATACATACATTCATTGGTATTCTTGGAGCATTTCGTGCTGCTCTCGGTTACATTAATTCAACCTACTAGTCGAATTAAGAGTGCCAGGGGGGAATTTAGCCAAGATAAACTACGTGTACTTATGAGGAACAAGTGACATGTCTATAGCGTGGTTTGTTCTATCATTTTATTAAAGTATGATATACCTATATATATCTATATCTATATTTGATTTTTAATGTATTTGGATGGTATTTTGTTACATGTAGTAAGTAGTTAACACTTGAGCTCAGCAATGTAACTATTGATCCTACCTACTGATTTTGCCAATAATTCTATACAGGTAACACAATGCTTTAAATTGCGGTGACTTTCAACATATAGGAAGGCTTGTTTCCATACGAATGCACACCGTACGTAATAAGCTGATAATTAGCTCCACTCGTTTTAACCATATATTTGTAGTCTATATGCAGAAAACTAGTGTTCATTTTATTTGCCTTCAGTAACAATTGAGAACATAAGTGAAAAATAGCTTTCTTTACTTCATTTGGTCTTGCGAATATCAATAGCTACGTTTATCAAGGGCGAAGCCAAGTTTAAAGCAATACCGCCCAGTGCGTATTAAGAGATAGGATTAAGGTTTGACTAATCACGGATGAAAAGGTCATACACATTAATAAACTGCAACATCGCAAAAAAGAGAAGAAAAAAATTAATGTCGTGCACACAGAGATTAAGAAGGAAGTATTTATTATATTTGATCGAAACCCAAGTAAACTCTGCTCACCTTTGTAGCGTGATGCGTCGACCACAGAATCATGTTTTTTTAATCATTTGAATAGGAATTTGAACAAGTGAAACAGAGGTTAAAAAAGTGGGCGAATTATTTCCTTCGCAAGCCTATTTTTGCCTTATCCATCTTGTGTTTCATGTCGCAGATGCCGTTCCCGATTTGCATGATAGCAATGTGAGATTTCCTGTTTCGAAATGTTTGGGTACTTATATTAAGGGATAGTTCGTCGGAATTTTTGGCATCTAACATCCGACTTTGTTCAAGTTTCCGTCGTGAAAATGAGCTTTAACTCCTTTAACACATTAATGTTGGGCTAGGCCACTGATCTCAAAAAATAGATTTGACTATTTTTTAGTCTAAAATCCTTGAACTTTCCTTTAAAGCGCCTTGTTTGCCCTCTGCGCCACTGCTATAGCCTGGCCTTCATGTTAAAATACCTCGCAAGACTTCCTCTTCGGCCAGTACTGTTAACTGTTAAATATTGTTAATGATGTATTGTTATTATGGGTATTGTTATCAGATCTGTCTTATTGTAATAAAGTGCGTGTATTTATTGTTACTTATTTGTCATTGCTTATTGTCAGTTAATTACGATGACGAAATGCAACGTTAATACACCCGACAGCACCTGTGTTCCTAACCTAAAATATAGCCATAATTGAGAAAACGATTGCTTCATCTGTAGGCTTAAACTGATAACTGGCACCAAGAACAAATCATGTCTAATCATGGAGTAGAAATGCTAAATAAATGTGTGTGTGTGTGTGTGTGTGTGTGTTAGAGAGAGAGAGAGAGAGAGAGAGAGAGAAATGGAGAATGAAAGAGAGAGAGAGAGAGAGGGAGAGAGGGAGAGTGTTAAAAGGATAGCTCGTCCTTGTTCCTGAAAACAGACATGCAATAAGAGACGACGACATGCGACACTTGTTGGAAAAAGGCCCCAATTATCAGCTTATTAACCAGATACATGTTGCTTAAAATGCACAGATTGCGGCGACAATCCATAGCTGTTAACAATTATGAAATACGAAGGGTTTCATGTGTCGCAATAAATACCTTCGAGTTAAAAGGCTTCGTCGAGATATTAACTTTGTCGTAGGAGAGAGAGAAAGACAGGGAGATCAAGTAACTTATTTACGACATTTTCAAATCCAAATAGAAAGAAGAAGACGATTCTGTCGTCGTCGAAAATAATCAACATCCAACGCGCTTAGTTGTCGTGTTAGGGTCTATTCCCACAACTTTAGATCGATCTATCACCGAGGGGAGTCTCACCAGACTACCGTAAGATAATCCCCCTTAAGTGTCCGTCCCCGCCCACTACAAGCCGTAAGGGGCAATTAACTTTCGTGTCCGCCCGGCTGACAGCTATTCAGCGCGAACCCCCAGGGAGTTAGGTCGATCCAAAGTAGGTCGATCTAATCTATGGAAATGGGGTGTTAAACGTCCTTCAAACTCTTAAAATGCACAAGGTGACGCTTTTTTGAAAGAAAACAAGAAGCAGCTTCCCGACTTTCCCTATATCGACTATGGCATTTTTCTAACTCTTTGCCTTGGCATTTACCTCTCTCATATGGCACTAAGGAAAAAAAATTACAGCAACTTCTTTGACTGACATTGGAACCCTTTCTCCTGTGCAGACATTTCTACGAATTTGTTACAAAATCAATATGTTTTTCATTTTGATAGATCTTGAAACAGCGCTCTGTGCTGGCTTTGCCTGTGACAAAGGAAAGACGAGCAAGAAACTAATTACGGGTTATATTTTTAGCATGGAAACTGGAAATTCGTGTCTAAGATTTAATAAAGTCGGGTTTTGCTGAGTGAGCATAAACATAACCACGCTATTATTATACAGGGGGATTAACATTTCACACTTTGCTTATGCAACTTTAAAAGCAACCATTGGGGAGTGTTGGAAATAAACGATCTTCTTTTGCAAAAACGCTGAGTAATCGATGCAGGTCGCGCGCGCGAGAGAGAGAGAGAGAGAACGAGAGAGAGAGAGAGAGAGAGAGAAAGAGAGAGAGAAATTGGAGATAAAAGAAAACGAGAGAGAGAGAGAGCGATACATATGTAAAACCTGTTTCAAAACATTCACATAACAGGTCCTTGCCATACATATATATATATATTGAGAATGCGAGAAAAAATTATCTTCTTGGAGTAATTTTCCCCCATTAGAGCAACGCGTGCAAATAAGAGTTTAAAGACACAAACAATGTACAGGGTACATTGCATAACAGTACCTGGTGCAATTATTATTTTAAAAATATATTAAAAATATTTTTAAAAATAATATAAAATATATATATTCAAAAATAATCATAACAGAACTCCTTAGCCGGCAGTAAAGCAAAACATGCTTATTGTTAAAAAATATTGAGTGATCTTTTTACTAATGCATAGAAGATCGATGAATAAAAAGAGAATCAAAGAATAAAAAATTAGTTGAAATGTGCGGGTTGGGATAAATCAAGTGGGAATCTTGAATTACAAACGTCTTTATAAACGTTTCCTCATTTTCGACCCACCTACATGTACCTGTGGATTTGTATAAAAAATAACAGCTAATAGCACCCATAAGTCGTGACCTCAGGAATAATACACGACTGGAATCTGAGATGTCATTTTAATAGACCTTGAAGTTGACGAGATGGTAAATAATTTCTTTTGACTTGGCCTCTCATAAATCACCTTTATTCAGTTTCGTAAACAGTTGTGGCTTTGATTCTTGCAACGTGACTTTGGCTACGTTTTCTTCTAGTTCTATTTTACTTACATGTACATGTACCAGGCACCCCTCTTGTTTTTCGGTGTTTTGGAATTGTTACACCCGTTCTATTGTCCCTAAACTTGAATCATTTGCATACTGCATTGTTACTCAATTAAAAAACTTTTCATGTGCAAAAAATGGCTAATATTTCATCTTTCGCGGTTAATAATTTTGGACCAGTGACATTGTCACTTATAAAAGAAAACGTACCTGCCATATTTAGGACATTTGTTATCAAAACTGTTTTTTTTTTCTTTTATAAAGAATCATCATAACCATTTATCTTTTGACGGAGAGAACAAGGGTAAGTGATAAAATATAATTAACAATCGCTTTAAAAGAGTAAAAAAACCTTTCAAAATTTTATTAAAAACTCACATTTAAAAGAAAATTGCAAAGATTCATATCATAAACTCTATTACCGTTTGTTTAATATCTTAATTATAATAAAAGTTTGAGGTTCTATGGAATACGCTTTTTAATAACTCTCATTTCTTCAGGTGTAAAACCAAGTTAAACCTTCAGACAGGAATAAATATTGGGAGTTTCATCAATTTTTACGTGATCAACAAAGTAAACCTAATCCAAAATCATTGGAATTATCTGCATTTCCTGAGTAACTCAAAAATTAGAAAATCAGTACCCAAAACGTTCCATCTAATACTCTTTGTGCAACTTCCATTTTTAGAGACATAGGTTTTTTCTTTTTTTTCCTCTCTCTCCTTTTATGAAATATCGGAAATTACAACCACATACAGCGAAGATGTCGAGAGCAATTTGAAACAGGAAACAGGAGCTTATCGATAGAACGACACCATGTTAAACGCTACGACAGTAGCAATCAGCCGTTGACAAACGAGCAGATACTGCATCTTTCAAGCGAGGTTGCGATGGTGTCGCCACGTATCGGTCGTACTTTACACTACATATATTGTGTGAAAAGGAGAAATATGCAATATTACACAAAAGTAAAATAATAACCAGCTAAAGGGCCGACATCTGTTTCACACAGGAAAATCTGGAGTTCAGATATTCGGAGGAGGAAATGCGCACCGAAGCTCGGATTAGGTAATACCAAAGATCAGCACTGAATAAGCGCATTAAGGACAGCGGACTAACAGATCCGAGGATCAAATACGACAACCCGCTTAAAAGATTGCCGCTTAATTCCCAATTAGACACTGAATAGATTCCCCGCAGGGATTACGCAACAAGCATTCAAGTGGGTCGGCTGTATTTGATCCGAGGATCTGTTAGTCCGCTGTTTTGAATGCGCTCATTGATAATTACTTTCCCCTTGCTCGGAACACTTCGGCTGAAGATAATGATTGAAAGGGCCAAAAGAATAAAATTGTTAATTTTAGGCAGTTAGGTTTAAAATAAGTTGTTCCTTCCCACTGTATACTGACAATGATCAGAAAATGCAAAGGCAATTTTTTTTCACTTAATGATCGACAGAGTTTATTATAAAAGTTGATAAATACAGTACTGAATATAACGGAAAGTTACAACTGATACTACATTATAAAATAGAAAAAAAAAAAAGATTTCGAGGATGATGTTTCGTTTTTTAAATTATGTATAAAAATCAACAGTATTAAATAAAAAGTTAAAGCTGGCACAATCAATATGTGACTTCGTCTAAAAATTATTTTGAAGACGTGCAGTTGTTCACCTAACCAAGCAGTTGCCGATAAGTACACATTATTAACAATTAAAATTCAAACAGCCCAAGTTAAAATGCGTATTGGGCTAAAACACTTCTTTGGTCACCTGCGTTATGTGTTGAACCTTACTGACGTCTTGATGCTCTCACACGTTTTACTAAGCCAGTGGAAACACGCGTAACGAAATGTGCAGATACTAGCTGCTGTGTATGACCAAAGAAAAAAAAGACTCTGATCTGTTCTTCCTACGTGGAAAATAATGGGCCTACATACTCATTTTACTCAGCTGCAGTGTCATCTTTCGTCTTTCTCTGCATGCAATGTGTTCCATGCGCGACATATGAGACGCTAGCTTGTTGTTTAAGGCTCTTGTGAGCGCATATTTGTCTCGAGTGCTCTGTATTTTTTTTGTCGGTATTCCGTGCGGAGATAAAGATGTTTCAAACAACTTCGAGTGGTGCAGGGATGGAAGTCGTTGAGTCGAAGGCTAGATTATCAAAACTTTCATCCATTTTGAACTAAAAAAAAGTAGATAACATTATTAAATAATCCAAAAACAACAATTTCAAAATAATAATAATAATAATGCTGCACACCAACGTAATTGCTCAAGAGGTCAGAAACATGACGACAAAAATCTATCCAACTTAGTCTGATTCTTTTTAAAAACGGTTGGATACATGATTTTTATAATACGATGGCAAACCATAACATGCATATTGTAACGTTAAAAGAAAAAAATATTTTTACGCGGTTCTTAAAACAGTAACGACATAGGCCTACTTTTTATTTCTTATAAAAAAACGTTTGGCATTTGACAAAATGGACGACTTTCATGAGAAATGAATATCGCTGAAGCTTATTATCCGAACAAATGCCACATTTTACCCAGTGTTTCGTGTAAAAGCGAGATAGAAATTGGGACATAATACATAAACTCACTATCTGTCCCTGACATAGGATTGTAGCAACATTCGTATGACACAACGATGGATCGCTCCTCCTGATTAGTCAATCCACATGGATAGATGGCGCTGCAATGCCCCTTTCCGTCACATCTTTTCTGCAGTGACGTTCGTATTTCGTCATCTTGTTCGCATGCATTGGTCATGCTACATGAATCCACATGTCGAACCTAAATCAAGCCAAAAAAATACTATATTTAGAGTTTGGAAGAAAACGCTTGTATTATCTAAAGGTCAGAATGTCCTTATTCGATATGTGCTATTTTCGGGTTGGAAAAAATTCGTCAACACACACCCTCCAAACAACAAAAACAAACAAACGAACAAAAAACACTATTTCCTTTAAAACGCCGACTGCTTTATATTAAACTTAAATATTTTCTAGAAATAAATCCTATATTAACCACGAAATTCAAATGACACATGAAGAAAGGAATTTCAAAAACATAACTGAAGTAACCGTTCCTCATAATATATTATCACTTTTGTCAACCGAATTGTGCCTTCATCTTCAAGTGTAAAGCCTGCCATTGAAATAACTGACCAGTAACTTTGCTCTCCTTTTTCATCAAAACAAAATTTATCATCGAATCTTCCAATGATCTGTTGTATTTACTCTTAAAATATAATAATAATAATAATAATAATAATAATAATAATAATAATAATAATATTATTATTATAATAATAATAATAATTACCAGCAAGATTTTTGGGTAATCGTCCTGGTTGCATAACAAAGTCAATCTGCTACTCAATATGCAGTCAAAGTGAACCTCATGCTGCGTTGCTGTAAAATTAGGATATTATTAGTATTTGTCCTTTTTCAAAGTTGAGCGGTATGCTTTAGCGATACAATTGTGCCGGTACACTTTGAATGACTTGTGGCAAAACCGCCTGTATCGATACACACTGAGAGGCTTACAGCTAACCAGTTTGGCTATTGCGTAAGAGATTGTCGCTTAAATGGAGTTTCTTCGTTCGACACGGCCAATTAATTAATTTAGTTAACAGTAGGATGCGAATTTGAGAAAGGGAGTAAAAGTAGGTCTAATGTATTTACATGTTATAAGTGTACCGGTGCACAGTATATTGCTAAAGTATATTGATCGATGCTAAAAAAAAACAAACACCTGTGAATGGAAATCTTCTAATAACTTTTGCTAAATGTCATTTTAGTAATCATCAGTAATCAAGAAGTAAGATCAGTAACAATGCCCTTGAAAATATGATTAGTGTACTCGTTAATGCTAATGTCAAACGGTGCTTAAGAGAGCCTATTGACGTAAAGGATATTACGAAGTGATTGGCGTTATTAACACCTTGTGTTTTCCACTGAGAATAATTACCAGAGTTGTAAATATAGCCTAGGTGACTAAGATTACATACACAAACATACCAAATACTTCTATTATTATAAAGGCGTAACTCACTGCATGCAGACTACATAAATCAAACATAGTTAAACATAAACATCGTTCCGTATAAGTCAAACTACACAGAGATGCCACATGTAACTTACGCAATGGTAACAAAAAAATAACTTAACTTCATTATAAACGGTTACGTTGTAGTAGAGAGTTCTGGAGGGGGGGGGGGAGGCAGTAAAAGGGGGCCTTAGAATCTCCCTTTTGACAAAAACCCTCTATGAATAAATATAAGACCCTGGTGCTCTTTCACTTTTCAACTTGGGTTGTGCTTTGAGGGACAAAATTTCAAGTTTCACTTTTTCAGAAAAAATAATCCTCCCCATTGAACTTGCTCGCTTAAGTATTATTTCCCAAGAAGCGTGAAACGTTCATTTTTCATTACGAAAAAAGGGGGGGGGGGAGACAATATAGGGGGTCCATAGAATCTATCTTTTGGCATAAAAAGAAGAAAACACCTCTATGCAACACCCAGGTGCTCTTTCACTTTTCACCTTGTGTCACCTGGGGCGTGCTTTGGGGACGAGAGCTAAAAAAAGTTTCCCTTTTTCAGAAAACTGAATTCCCCCTTTGCCGGATTTTTAGGAGCATTCGCAACAGGGTTGATCCTCGGGCTAACAAATTCGCGGTTCAAATAAAGCCGACCCACGGCCGAGTTCCCATCAGGGAATTTATTCAGTGTCTATTACGGGATAATGGCGCGATTTCAGGTGGGTCGGCCATATTTGGTCCGCAGATCAACTCTGATTTGAATGCGATGTAAAACATGCTGTGACCTAAGTGCCGTATTTTTGCATTTAAACAATTCTTACCATTACAACAACGCAGACCGCACTGTCTGGTTCTCACTAGACGTTTCTCTTTGCATCTTTGCGGATTAATACACCGACGTCGCCGTGTCTGGACGCCGCCACCACAGGAAACGGAACACGCTGACCACGCTGACCAGTGAGTGACTGCAACACCTAATAATAATAATAATAATAATTCATCCAGATGTATTTTTTATCAAGAAAAAAAAGGACCTTGACAACTCGAGTAGTAGAGTTGCCTGGTGACGTCAGTGACAAACGCACGATCTTGTCCCATGTGATGTTCCGGTCAATTATTCATTATTTTGCGTATTTCATAACCTCTTACCGTATTCATATGTAGGGTCAATTAAACGATGCAAATCGGCGACTAAAGCTTCCATTAGGTCAATCCTGCTGAGCTCCCTGATGTGGTGGAATGTGACATTGGTGCGCACAACGCTTGTTATCTCAGCTACCGCAATGTGGGCGTCGCTGTTTGTATCGTACTCAAACTCGGGCCCTATGCCTATACCACGTGCATACAGTATTCCAGCTTCATGTACCTAAAAATATCATAATAATAATAATCAACGATTAATATCGAAGTTAATTAAAAACGTTACATAAGAGATATTTCTATAAATGCATTTTATTAGAATAGAAATTGCAAGGTAGAACAAATAGTTTAAAAAAATCATGAAGTGATAGCTCAGAAAAAAAAAATGCGCACACACATGCAACTTAATATTTAATATTTATGTTAATTCAGATGGCCCACACATCCGAACGTGAAATATGCATTAAATTGGTTTATATCTTTAATTCTTACATCATCTGCTGCTTGCATTACCGCTGTAGAATTTATAGACGCGCCGCAGCTCACAAACACAGCAAGATTAGGTCCATTTCTCGCTGTATTGTTTTTCTGGATAAACATCTCATTGCTGGAATGGCAAATAAATGTTTGTATAAATTCTAAATACAGCAACTCGAAACATTTTAAGCGAGATAAAATTCTAAAATGAACTATTTCGCTCACGTGGTTTGAGACGGATTGCTTTGAGTTTGTCACTTATAGAAAGGGCAAGATACAAGCGAAAAACTGTAAATGGAGCCGTTGTTTATGACTCTGTTTTTTACAGGAGAAAAATAAGTGTCACAATATAATAATGAATTTAATTTAATTTAATTGAAAAACGTGTTCCACTTTGGAAAATGCCTTTTTTCATCAGCTGTTTCATACATTATTAATTTAAAACAGTGGACAATACCAGTGCTTTCTTTAATTAGTTATTTTATTATGTGGTTTATTCATATTGAACTTCAGGGCCATTTCAAGAATGACCTTAAAATCTGGAAATTTACTATTAAGCATATCGCAGCATCATACAATCAACAGTCATATTAAATAAGAAGCATAAAATAAACGTTTGATTCGAACAAACTTTCAGTGTAAAATAACATACGTGGAAATGATATATTATAAGTTGTAGGAATTAACACTAAAGCGGAAACACAGGTTTGCTGCTAGAGATGGTAATGTCGAATAAAACACGTACCTCAGTAGTTGTAATGCCTCAAATGTTGCCCTCGGTCCGCCTACGTACGGTATATCATCCACCATATCTATCATGGTATCTATATCAAATGTGTCATTCAAGCGTAACCCGATGCCACTTTTCCCGGAAACTTGAATAACGCCAAACCGAGTCAAATTTCGGCCCACCGCGAAAGCTTGCATGATTCCCATGACGAACAACAGCTGCAACCGGAAGTGGGAGTGTCCTGCTCTATAAGAGCCATCTATAATAAAGACGATGTTACTAGGAGCGGGCACTGCAACTGAAATGGTGAAAGAAACGTGGGGATAATAATCTACGTTACACAGTCCAACGAGGAGATAAATATGTATACAACTATCTCATGATATTAGTATTTTGATGAACTTGTTGCGTTTGTTACGTTATAAACTGTTTGAAACAAAGGGATGTGTGAGGCCTGCCATGTAGGCCTATATGCCTTCTCATGCCTTGTCACAAAATCGGCCTAACAGCGTGTTAGAACTTAGTTTATTTACTACGTCTTCATAAACTTTCGTGTGGTACATAAGCTTGCTACTTTTGTAATTGCGGTCTAAGGCGACAATTTAGGCGTACAGCGTTTTAGCTTAGCTCCGCTTCGCGCGGGTTTTCAGGCGTTTCATTTTTTAGTCTCGCATGACGTCACGACTCGCTTTGGACTATCTCGGATGCTTCCCATCTATTTTGGTACTCACGTTTGCACACTCCGATGTCCTCTTCCATATCATACGCCTCTGTGTAGGCACAGCTCCTGCGCTATATGACACCAACCATAGAAGAGACTGTGTAAATACGTATTTTGCAATATATAGGTTTGACTATTATTATAGAAGAAATATGAACTTACGATTAATTAAAAATAAATGTAGAAAAATATTGGTCCAACCATAACAATAAAGCTGTATTATCATTTATTTTATAAACATACTTAGCTACAACTAACAAATTGAATGGTGGCACATGTTTTCGCCAAACACCGCCGTTTGCTAATATTAACGTTATGCAAACAAGGAAATGTATATTACTATAAGTGAGAAGTTAAATCATTCAAATTACCAATAAAAGTCTTTGCCGTGTCCGTCTGTTATTCCGGTCACATTTTGACCACTCTGACCATGGGGACACATCTGTATATATAAAAAAAAGAAATATAGTTTTAAAAATCCTCATCGCGATCAAATAAATACACAGTCTTTTTGTGCAAAGCATTTCCTATACTCGGTCCTGCATGGTGGCATGTTGGCTGCGGCTGAAACCCAGCATACACAGCGTTATTATAACGTTACCGTAACGTTTATATTACCCCAAAACTTTACGGTAACGTTATTATAACGTTACCATAACGTTTATATAACAAAAACATTAAGGCATCAAAACGTTCTGCTTGGGCTGGGAAAGCATATAACGTGATCCCGAGCTTAGCTCTATAGTAATGTCCCATTGCATTTTTACGTGATGTACTTACTGCTCATACAGGCCAGCACGATTTCTACGTGAGCTCCATTATTCTTTGTAATGTTTCTGTCCGGTGTACAGGTTCCGGTCACGTGGTCTAGTAATGGACGGGGCACATTTATGGGATCACTGTCAAAGGATTCAGATATAGCATGTAAACGGTAAAATAATGCATGTTCATTGCCAAATATCCAAACAGTTTAGTACTTAAAAAAATAAATTCGATAATGTGATCAGGTGCATTTATAAATATTTATCCAAATATCTGTTTATTTTATTTATAGGTGATAACAAGATGCTTGACTGGCATTTTGGATAACTCTACGCATAGTTTCTACCCCATTAAGTTAAAAGTACATTAGTTGCATTTAAACGCACCTTTGGTGATGAAATAATACAAATAACTATACTTACATAACCCCTGTCGTAAATATAGTGCATCCTAGAATCACAGGTGCCACCAGTTCTGCAGGACAACGTACTGAAGGCTTGAAAGTAGTATCTTCTAAATCTCCAAGGTTCTGTTTGAATTCTTGGTAGTGTACTCTTGAGTGCTTGCATTCTTCGGCGCATGTTAGAATAGACTGGAAAATACGTTCAAGTTTGAAGATGTCAGGGTGATATTGTGTAAAGATGCATCAATGTGAAGTTCACTTGCTTAATACTTAAAACGAAATATGTGCGTTCGAAATGAGTGTAAAAATACTAAAAGCGAAATATGTATGCTCCAAATGAGTATAAAATGACATAACTTTCGGAAGTCAAAATAACTAGTCACAGTGCAGTACCAATGATGCTAAATCATAAGACGACTTTATTAATACAGAAATATAAAAGGCGGTTATTACAGGGCTCGAAGTGCTAAAACGTTTTATGGAACGAAATATATATCTCAGAGTAAAATTTTACGTGGATTTTAGCCTGAAACAACCTTTTCGTTGCAGCGTAAATGAAATACACACATACTAAAACATTATCGGTGTTCATCCCACTTCCAACGGCACGAGCGTCGCAAACCAACGGCCCGCCAAAGAGACCTCGGTGCAGCCGTGGTATACAACCGCCGGGGGTATCCCTGTTTATACATCCACACTGTATGGGCACTTGGTTCTCTGACGGACACAGGGGAGATCCGACGACAACTGAAATATGGAGATCAATTTATGTGATATCATGACTTTGCTTTCTGCAAGGGCAACACGCGCGTGCGAGCGTGCACACATGCGCCATCTCAGTGATACCAAGCCTACTGTAATAAGCCGCATCTTTAACTACGCGAAGACCAGATATTTTACCAAAATTTGGCCCAGAATTTTTCTTACCTTCAGTGCCTACTTAAACAGATAATCCGCCTGCCAGTAGATGCATACTGGTTAAAGTAAGCGTGACGCAAATGGGTCAAAATCTAGCGCTGACTGTTTGACTTGACAATTCGATTTCGAAACATCATAAACCACAAGTACAATTTGGTATGGAATAATGAATCCGGGGTTTTACGCCTTCAGTACAAATCAAACAAAAGGAAAACGTTACTATGCTATTTATGTTTACAAGGATATCACCTTACCTTTGTTTGTGGTGCACTTATTCTTGACTCCACTTACAGCTTTCACTTCTCCCGAAGAGTCAAAGAATCCGTTCAAACGCCTGGAGCGAGAGCTTGTCCCAAAACATGCATTTGCCGTATCCTCCGAAAGTTGGCGACGTATTATCAATACACCAGTTTTAGTCACCTGTTGGTGACTTTCGTTGCTTCGTGTCACAACGTGTAGTGTATCATTTTCCATCACGGTTTCCAAGTCACTCTCAACTGGGACTTCACTGTATGACTCGTTCGCTGCACGTTCAACTGTCTGTTGATAAATATTTCCGCATTTTTGGTGTGCTTCATAGTCAATAGGTGGTGCCACAGGCGTCAAATATCGTATAAAGGTGTAAGCAACACAGCGCGTCTCCTATAATTGATTTAATGATCAATAATTCAATTAAAATTAATAAATAGTCATCTTTTTCAAACATTAGTGAACACAACTTATTTAGGATTGTGCTTGATTAATATCCTGTATGAACTGCCAACAGAATATACACTTTTGATATAGCAATGTAAGTATAGATGCTTAAGAGCAACAATATGCGATGCAAATACAAACAAACAAAACAAAACCATTAGTTACATATTAAACAAATATTTCTATGTAATAAACTTGTTTTACAAACAACCAGACACTGTTTACAGCTATCCTTGTGAGATCTCAATTTTTATAAATTCAACTAACTTTTATCATACCTTGCTGCACTCGAGCGCACATTCCTCTTCAGATTTTCCGTCGAGGAAGAGGAATCGGTCCACCCCGTCAAAATCTTCTTCCAAGGATAACACCACGTGGTCGTTAAACTGTTGGTAATCGCATGAAGGATAAACCTGCAAGTCTTAATTAAGGGCGTCAATGAATATGAGGGGTAGGCCTACGTACTTCCAGTTCAGTTGACAGTGCTTAATTTGATGCTGTGCCATCTTTTCTGAATGCTTCTAAGATAGTTTTACTATTACATTTAACCATTTAAACTTTAAACAAAACAAAAGACATGACGTACATTCTCTAATGGGTAACTCTTAAACTTTTCATTAAATATTATATTATTACATTATTTAAATTAATTTAAAGACACCCACCATCACATGAGGTACCTGTCCACGGTTGCTCACAGTTACAGCTGAAGGATCCGCCCACATTTGTGCAAGTACCGCCATTTTGACACGGATTGTCCACACACAGGTCGGGAGCTGAAGTATTGATATTTCACATATGTAAAATGTATTGTGATGCTGGCCATATTTTTATTGAGACTTAGTGTGACATGATTAATATTGTTCTCCTGTCTAAAATTTATTGTAAGGCGTCTAAGTTAACACCGATAAATATTAACATATATGAAAACTCAAATGACAAGCAGCACACAAACATACAAATTAAATTAAAATAAATAAATAAATAAATAATAGCCAAGAAAACACATTAAGATACCCCGACTTACCTTGACAGGTGCTGCCTACCCAACCTTGGCCACACGTACAGGTAAAACCACCGATATTCTCCTGACACGTCCCTCCATTGAAACATGGATTTATAGCACACTCATCTATGTCTGCAATTGAAATGTATGAGGGCATTACAAAGTGGGTTGGCTTTGTTCAAATAACCTCAGTGTTCGATTCAACTCTTTAATTGCATCTAAAAACAATTAACATGCCAAAAATACCGCTTTGCTAAACTATTCTACTTAGTTTCAAACAGTTAGTCACGTTATCCTAAATAGCGCGTTTGCTGCGTGGGATTCTGCACGTATGATAAAGTGATACATCAACGACATCAGGAATTATTGGTTAAGAAAATCGCACTCCTGGGTTGCACTTACATACCAAGCTTATGGTCCGAATTCAACAGAACACGAAAAAATGGTCACAATTTGCAAAATGTTAGAACAAGAAGTTGTAGAGAGGAAGATTAATACAGTGGCGTATTTAGGGGGTGTCAGGGGGAACCTGACCCCCCCCCCCTTCGATTTCTGAAATAAAATCACACCAATGGTCCCCTCTTGAAATTAGAATTTTGACTAGCTGAATCATATTTCTACACCCTGTAAATAGACCTGCTTGGCAGCTCCACAAAACGTGTTAAAACTTTAAATTAACTCGTCATATCCCGATATAAAAGTTTACGAACTTGCATATATCTTACCTGTTTCGCACACTTCTCCTGTGTAACCAAGGGGACAGTCGCACGTGAAAGTGTCCATGCCGCCCTGACACACCCCACAATTCAAGCATGGCCGACTGGAACATTCGTCAATCTCTGGCATGATAAATGGGATAACTTAAAGGTGGAATTGCAATTAAATCTAAGTTTATCTCATTTGTCTTAATTTAAAGTAACCAGATGGCACAAAACAAATCATTTGGCTTCATTGGAGTAGCTTTAAAAAACATCAATTTTTTCAATTACTCAAATATACTTAGTGACATAATTTGAGTAATAACAAACGCAGCAAATAAATTAAACAAAATAAAGAGGTGCAGTGGAGCCAATGCGTGCTTTCAATTCCGCACCCGCACCATAACTAAATGTTGATTTGCTACATAGGGTATAAAGGATAATAAAACAACAAGCAACTCAAGGTATTAGCTGTCGGTCGTATCACGGGTGTATTTTGGTCATTTCTTACCCGTTTCACACAATTCTCCAGTATAGCCTGGCGCGCATGTGCAAATATAATTATTCCCCGAAAACATGCACGTCCCACCGTTTAAACAGTCAGTAGACACAGAGCACTCATTATGCATTGCTGCAAATGTAACAATATGAATACGTTATAAGGAACAACAGAATACGCATGATCAATCAATCAACACACACAGTAAAGTGTAAAATAAATACGAATATCTTAAGTGAAAATAAGAATAAAACAATTGGTAGTTATAAAATAAAAATAAAACTGTAATCTAAAGAATAATTCTTACAGGAAATATATTTCTCATAACGTCTAGGGGCACCTTACTATATCTACCTTATGGAAAGAGAGACAAGGAAAGGAGAAAGAGAGAGAGGCTGGGGGGGGGGGGGAGGGGGGAAGAGAGGGGAATGAAATAAATGAGAGAGATAGAGAAGGGACATACATGGAATCCGTGTTTGGCATAATACACCAGTTGTATCATTTTTGCATGCGCAGCTAAACATATTCACCATATCATTACATGTTCCGCCATTGAAACACGGGTTGCTGCTACATTCGTTCATTTCTGCAAAATATAATGCTCCAAAGATAAAAAAAAGTGTATCAAAATATGTAATAACACTTTAATTTTATAAACTGCTAAAAAACTACGTCAACATTTCAATATGGACACGAAAGTAATTTCAGAAGACATAATCAGTCATGCATTCAAAGTATATTTATCTGTATAACTTGTAATTTAAATATCTAAAGCATCAACTTAAATGATCTTACATAACATACCCGTCTCACAGAAAACTCCTGTGAAGCCTGCTACGCATGCGCAGTAGAATCCATTGACTTCGTCGTGGCACGTGGCTCCGTTATGGCAAGGGTCGCTTTCACACTCGTTTATGTCTTATGAAAGAAAAAGAAAAACTATGATAAAGGTTCTCATTTTACACTAAATATATACAGCAATGAAACAACTCGTGCCTGCGTTTGGATTCGTTTTACTCTCTCAAATTTGGTGTAATGTTAATAAATACAGAAAACTATTTGTTTCAAACAATTCAAATACTGACAGAGGCTAATTCTGAGTAAAAATTAGAGTATAAATAATCGCACTGACCCGTGTCGGGGGCCAAGCGTTACTCCTACATTGGCCAAAATCTCTTTTCGCGCAAATATGACAATAGAACCAAAGAATACATTTCATTTAGGTTTCTCTGAATTGACCATTTATTTTGTTGTTGTAGGTATCTTATTCTCTTGTAAAACAAACGCAGCGATTAAATTAGTGTGTTAGTAAATCACATGATAAATTGCTATATCTCCGTTGTTTAGTTAAAAGAAAACCCGCTAGAGGCGCTATTAGTGCAGTTACGTCATTGAAGGGCTAACAAAACGCCAAGCATACTGAGAGGTTGGAAGGTTGGGCTTTCTAAGAATATTTTGACGAAATTTTGACGGCCATGCCATACCCGTTTCACAAAGTGTTCCCGTCCACCCGGCATAACAGGCGCAGTAGAACATACGATATAAATCCACGCATTTCCCATTCAGGCATGGGCGGTTAATACACTCGTCAAGATCTGAAAGAGAGATGCCGTCATGCGTAATATGTATCCATTTTGTATTCATGGCGTATCCAAGTATCCGTTTTAACATTTGAGGAATTGAAAATAATCGAAGATTTAATTGTGAATTAAGTTTTCTTTCTTTAAGTTATTCATTATCACTTATTTATCTTGTGGAAAACCGGATTAACAAACTGACCCATTATCAAGGCAGCTCTCTCCACGATTGGTCGCACTGTCATATGTTGCCATGGTATTTGTAAACACGACATTGGTTAATTCGAGTGAGCCTATCATTAATAACGACAAAAAGTTCATGTGATTGAGAAGAAAAAGGAGTCGACTTACCGTTCGCCATAACAGTCTCGTAAAGGAAATCGCTTGAAATGCTGAAACCGATTAAAAGCATGAACAGTCACCAAGTACAGTCTATAGATCTATACGAATTATCGAACGCTACTTTAGTTTTACTTTGTTAGATCCACTTAAGTTTATAGCATATTTTTACATAGTTTTGCGTTTATTTTTCACCTCTATGAGGCATCTAATAAATAAATAAATAAATAAAATGATAACAACTTTGGACTTTTGGATATCGCTAATGTCAGTGCCTCACCCTCTTATATTCACTGCCTGACAGCCAATAGTGAAATAGCCAGTTTGGTTTGCCATCGGCGTCCACGAAATATCAACAAAATACATATTCTCAGACATCTGCTCCACGGGAGTTCTCGTGACACCGTACGGCGCTAGCAGGATAAATTCATCTATGCTGAAAAAATTTAAATGTGAAGCAGAAAACGAATCCCATTGAAATTCCACCTAAAACAAGAATCAGCAAACAATTTTGATCGAATGCAGCGTATCGAATTTCTTTTTCTTAAATCTACTTTTCCCTTTTTTAACATGGCGTTCAAGACACTCTGCACCCGAAGTCGGTTGCATGACGTGCAACATCCCTCTCAAAACACAGAACAGAAATGTGTAAAGATAGTTAATACAAAGACAAAATTATATAGTAAACAATTTCCTTAGACTGCAAATCTTTCAAAGGGAAGTTTGACCTCGGCCTTCAAGATTAGGCTTCAGATTTCCTCATTGCTACATGGTATACACCTTCACAAATAAGGTACAGTCATGAGCATAGATATCCAACTGCATCGTTACACAAATAAATCAGTATACTCTACATACGGGAACCGGCTTAGAATTCGGACCCTCCTGTGGAAGCTCGCAGCCGGCGCGATGGCTGTTGGACCGGAAGACAGTCCAGACTTCAACAAGACAGGGATGTCGTCATAGCTGCCAATTTCCAATGCTTTGATCAAAACCTAGTCAAATGACATGACAGTAAATGTCATAAACACATCTTACAAACTTAGACATGTAAGACCGTAGTAATATATGCTAAATTCGGGTGTTTTTCGGTGAAATGCAATTATTTTCTCTCGGTATGCATGTCAAATAATACACTGCCACCCTCTTGCCATATATAAACATTAAACGTTTCGGTGCCCTTAGAGATGTTCCAGCATATACCGCTTGACTGTGGGTTTACAGTGGATTATCTCACTCGCAATACGGATTAATTTTTAAGCGCACTTGCATAAGATATACAGGTGCGAGAGATGTCGGCTTTAAGTGGATGCCCAGATCTTGGTTTATCAGCCAAGCTTGTCCATTTCATTATTTTTAAAGATCTGTTACACATTAAATGATAGACCTTATTAATCTCAACACTATTTAGTACTCACTGAGACAGCTTGGCAACACAGAATGGTCGCCATGAAAAAGAAATTCTCGCTGTAAGAACCCTGATAAAGGATGTTAAAAATGCCACGGTGAACTGTTGTGTTTATTTATTGTACTTAAATTGATGAGGCAAAACCATGGTAATTCTTAAGTTTGCTACCCGATAGCCTTCATGAGACAAGTAGAAAAACACGTTAAAACTACTATAATAACTATATATATATATATATATATATATATATATATATATATATATATATATATATTATTTTTTTTAACAAATAAATAACAACAAGCAGTAAAGACAACGTTAAACACAAATTTGGCATACGTCACAATCACAAATAAATAATATATTCACAAAACCGGCAATAGGCCTATATGCTTACCTGTAAAGGTACAGCAGACAGCGGAGTCTCATCATTCTTCGTGGCTCCACCTAGCGTGATAGGTCTGCGCGGGAAATCTTCAATGATCAGCGCGACGGCATACAAATCGCCATGATTAAAAACATCGGTGTTGGGTATATACAACGTGCAGTTCTGAAGTAAAAATACGATAATGAGAGAGAGAGAGAGAGAAAGAAAAGAAAATGGTCGGGGTGTAGTTTGTCTTTCCAAAGTATACTTTTGTTCCTTATGTCTAAACAATGTAACAGTGTATTTTGAAACGATTCTCAAACAAAATAAGCGGGCTTTGCCGAATTTGGCTCTCAACATAGAAGTGCCTGGACATATGTCCACATACGCCAATAGACTCACGTCGTACAAAATGGCCCCTTTCAGCCTGCCGCACACGCTGCCGCACTCCGTATCGCCGCGCCCCCAGCGGCACCGGACAAAATCACCCTCTGGGTCCAGCACCGGGAACTCTATGGTGGCGTCACATCCACGGCAGACATTTATCCTGAAACCGGAAGGTAAATAGTATCACAGCTTCGGCACGTAGTCATAAAAAGGACCAAGACATTATTACACCATGAATACGCACGCCATGTACACGTACAAGCACGTACACAAAGTTAAGACAGACATGCACATGCACATGCACGCACTTTATTACATCAACACATACAAGCACTTACACACATGTAGGCATACATCAACGGATAAGAGGATGAACACACACACACATTCACACGCACACACACACAAACAAACAAGCACACGCTGGCGCATGCGTACACACATGAACGTAGACACACACACACACACACACGCACACACACACACAAGCAAATAAACATGTACAAGTGCAAACACAAATACACCCGCTAGCGAGCGCACACTTACACATTCACACACATTCACACATACGTAAGCGCGTGTATGCACACACACACACACACACACACACACACACACCTGTATGCCATCAATCCATAGGACTGGGGACTGGAGTTGGGCTTGTTGACGTCACTGCGGTAGCCTAGGTTTACCTGTGTGAGGACACTGAACGCCTCTCCACCACGCTCTGTCAGACCGATCCACGCCGACCCCGTAAAACTAGAACGCACAGGCATATTTATGTCAAGTTTATAAATCTTTAATTGGAGTAGTGGCGGATTTAGAGGGAGGGGGGGGGGTAGGGTGGTCCTGACCCCGACCCCCCTTCTGTTTCTGAAAAATATATATCACACCAATATTCCCTCTTTAAATTAGAATTTTGACTAGCTAAATCATAGATTTAAACCGTACCGAAGGGCACTGTTTGCTCTCCAAAACGCACAAAAAAAAAAAAAAAAAAAAAACTGGGCACTTGAACAGGCCCCAAATTTTACACCAAGAGGGCGATGATTGGTTTTGCATCTGAGGCATGTAATTCCGGACCCCTCCCCCCCCTTCAAATAATCCTGGAACCGCCCCTGTGGACTGATGGTTCATTCTAGTTGACATCTAACTGAGAGAGAAGCAACCTTGTCAACTATAATAAATTATATGGCCAGTGACAGCTTTAATTAAATAATGTATGTAAAACATGACTGGATGACTATCAAACAGCACAGTAACGCGTGATTCATAATCAATATTAGTCTAAATGTATGGCCAGCTGTCGCGCTAAACTTGGACAAATAATTCGTATCATTTGTCCAAGATCTAAATTAGTGAAACCAGTCTTTGTCCACCACTTACCCGAGCACATAGCGTCCAAAGGTTTGAAAGGTGTAATCAAACGCTCTCTCGCCCTCCTCATAGTATTCTGTGGTGCTGACAGCTGTCACCGTGTACACGTGGTTTGACAAGTGTCTGGAACGCAGACAACCTGGTCCTGGCGACGGCAGGGAAAAAAGAGGACAGAAAAAGATAACAACGATGTCAAATAAATTATTTGAATTTTTCTTGTCGATGTACGATGATAATGAGGCGCAGCTTCTGCAGGCGCTTAAGCCCCCTCTACACGACGGCGTCCTTTCTGCGTCCTGTAGTACGGTCCCGTTTGAAATATATATATATATATATATATATATATATATATATATTTTTTTTTTCGTGCCGCCAACTGGCCGATCAATAAGCATATAGATACCTGTGCCTCTTTTCTACGACCACTACGATGCCAATTTCATTGTCGCACAATGCATAGACGCCGCAGAAAAGACGCCGTCCAGTGTAAAAGAGGTTTGAGGCAAGTGGGTGTGGTATTCGAATGAATGGCTAAAACTGACCGGGGCAAGAGCATGTTCTCAACACGGAAGATCGTGTCATATTGGACGAAGTAATAGATCATCTTTCGTGAAAAACTGTCATATTAAGAGAGAGAGAAAGAGAGAGAGAGAGAGAGAGAGTCTCGCATGCGCAGAGCTAGTCATACCTGAGTAACACTTCCAGGATCCCATAATAAAGGTTCCCTCTTGACCAACGTGTCTGACACTGCACCGTGGACCACAGGGCCCAGTTCCCAGTCTCCACGCTGACCGGTAGTAAAACTCAACCTTATTTGTACAGATAATGATAATAATTATTATAATTATAGCTCATCACTTGTCTATCAATTTATCATAATAACAATAATAATAACATCAATAATAACAACAGAGATTTGAACTAGGTCGTTTCACTTGGACAGATCGACAACTTGATAGCCTGTCTATTATGTAACAGAGTCAAGTAATCGAAGCGTCCGCGATGGACACGGTCAGTTTAACTAACCAGCAGAGATCGTGCATGTGAAAGGAGCAAAACCTGCTTTAGTGAGGGTCTGTCACAGTTGGCTAATGAAACGAGTTCGAAGAGAAAAGCACCTTTAAAATCATCTGCCTGTTTAAGCATTTCTTTACAGCAGTGACTACAATGGCGTTAAAAAGATGGCACGTCGAGACTGGTCGCTGTAATAAGTCGACTTCCAAAAACGATAACCCCCCTTAAAAATAAGGTCGATATTTCCTTCTAAAATCTTCAGGACGACATTGCGTTCTAAGCATTACGGGGATCGTACTAGTAAAACTAGATTATTTAATTAAAAATGGTAAATAAATCATCAAATGCAAACGCAGTGGGGAGATGAGCAATGATTCGAGAGCAAAATAATTCTTTCGAGGGAAATTTTGATTTGACGGGAAAATCCCCGAATAAATTGCATTAACTTCCACATCCCATACGGTACCTTCAGGTGGTCGTTTTTGTGGCATCTCCAGCTGATTGTAGCACCTCGGAAGTGACTCGCTGAAGAGAAGATGAAAAACAGACATTAACTGAACGACACTCTCGCACAGAATCGAAACATACACACTCATTTAATGAAACACTCTGACAGACCCGAAAGAGTAAGAGTTTGATCTTATGGCAATAAGCTGTTCTACATAATGGTAATCACTTCACAAACTACTGCTACCGGTATTTGCATATGTAGATAACCCAGCTTATAAAATGGGATGCCTAAATTATTGAAACACATATAAAACAAAGCAAAGTATCGTGAATGTGTTAAATAGGTTAACATTGATTAAGTTAGAAAAATAGGACTACAAACCATATGTGATTGCAGGTATCGCGGAGACGAGTGTTAGAATAAAATACAAGGTCGTTGCAGACTGGGGCCACATCGCACTGTTCTTCCTTGCCCTAGTTCTCTTAAAGTGAGGAATCTGAAACATACACTATTTAAAGTGCATATATTGGCGTCACAAAACTTGGCAAGTTTGGAAGCTTAGTTGTCTAATGAAATTGCCCAAGCTCTACACAAAGGGGAATCAGACAAAAGAAGTGCACCCACCTGGGCAAGGTGTCAAAATAAGACAATTACACGAACAATAAAACAACAAGTCGGTTTTCCATGATCGTTGGTGGACTCTTCCATTATATCTCTGCTTTAAATCTAAGACTCAATGGTCCTTGTACAAATTAATCAGGTACTGGGAACATTAAGTACTGTAAGGTGTCTTGAAGCTTGCAAAGTGTATGAAAGGTTAAAAGTTAGACCCAGCTAAGCACTGTAAGGCACCGTTGTCAATGTCCCTGTGAGCGATGTTATATTTTTTACAAATTCGACATTAAAATCGTTACGTTGAAGTTGTTCAGGGAAAATTCAGAGAAAGTCAACAATAGTCAGTTTAAAAGGTTAATGTTGTTGTTCCCGCCAAAAATTTGTTCACCCTGTGTTTTTTTTCAAACTAAGTAGGAAATTACAGCAAGACGAAGGACTCTTAAGGTGTAAATATTCAAGCTGCAAACTTATCACAAGGGCGATTAAAGGTACATGTACACTCCATGAGTTTGAAAATCCCCAAATGCTTATCCACAGCCTCTTAATAAAACTTTAAAAAAGATTTAAGTTCTGCAGCCTACCTGATGTTGATATTACCATTAGAGATTACTAGAAAATGGTTGCTGTTATAATGACTGGCCAGTGCTTCTACGCTAAAATCAACCTTTGTAACTTTTATATAAGGTCGAATCGAAGTGCAGAGAGGGATAGATAAATGATTCGTGGGTAAAACTTGCTTATTTCCCTGGGAAAAACCACTTTGGCAGGTAAATCTCATGGAGAGTACCTTAACCGATGAGTACGTAGACTCAACTATTTAGCTCAGTGGTAGAATTAACTCAGGATATTTAAAGTTAAATTACGAAGAATAACTTGGCCGGCAGACTTCAAACACATCAAAGTAATCACGCAAAATTACCATTAAAGTGATTGTCTCCGACATAGTACAAACTGTACATTCAAGAACATACAACAGTGTTATTAGACAAGCCCGGCAAAGGACAATAGGCACTGGCGTCGCAAAACGAGACACGGAGGCACAAATAAGCAATAAACAAAAATAATTACACAGCTTACGCAACTCAATATATTTTGAGGCTTTTATAAGTCGAAGAGAGCGGAATATATGTAGCTTTATTAAGGCTTACATACGTCTCTTTTTTTCTGTTATTTTTGTGAGGAATTATTAATTCACTAAATAAATAAATAAATAAATAAATAAATAAATAAATAAATAAATAATTCTGTCAACATAAGAGTTACAAACAAAAGAAATAAACTGCCGGACTGTGTCATAAATACAGAATCACCAAATGACTTCAATGGTAAACTTTACAACAGACACTGGTCAAAAAGGCTCTTCTTCCTGAGACCATGTGGTAAGCAGGGCAGATCCAGAACGTTTTGAAGGGGGTCCAGTTTCTTAGGGATTGACAGGCCTTGGATTGCGAGGCCGACCCTCACCTCCATGGTTTCAGATTCGTGGGCACGCTCGAGGGCCCCCGAAAAGAAATTGGTGTCTTGGAGGTCAAACGGGGCAATTTAGTACAGTTTAGAATTATGATTCAGCTAGACATATTTTGGTGCGTTTTTTAAAATCAGAAATCGAAGGAGGGGGGGGTGGGGTCAGGACCTCCCTGACACCACCCCTAAATCCCCCGCTGGTAAATACACATATCTACAGACAGACATTTAACACTGACCGACCACAGAGGAGAGCGGACAGCTCAGGTTTTGACCATTTGGACCTGGGTTGTCCAGTTGTCCTGGCTCTGAGGCTGACATTGAATACGTGGGGAAATGGACCCCTGGCCACACACTGTCACTTCAGACCAATAACGTTTCTCTGGACTCGCGAAACGCATCAATACGTGGCCCTCGCTACTTTTTCTTATTTCGTTTATCGTGTGTGTTAAATTTGAACAATTCTTAACTCATCATGAGACTTCTTACCTGTGTCCATCCCATGCCGCCTTGATGTGTCCACCATTTTGAACCTCCATGGTCAAGGTCGAGCTGAGCTGCAGTCGTAACGTGGAGAGGTCCCGAGTTCACTAAGCCATGCGACCAGCCAAACACAGCGGAGGATCTGACGCCACGGAATCGCGATCTTTTGACTTTGTCATGGGACAGCGGTTGGGACTAGAGATTTAGAGAGAATTACTTCGATGATTGTGAAGGACTGTGGTTATAGAACCGTGTCGGAGATGACGAGTGTTCGTGTCTCTCTTCAACGCGAGTTGCTTCATTGTGATCGCCATGCTCTGTTACCCTTTACCACTTGTATTATCACTTTTCACGTATAGTTAGTTAAATGGATTTATTTTCGCGACAATGCCGAATATATACAAATATAATACAATAATGTGATTATATAAGTAACGGCCCAGCCCTATGGGCTTACAAAGTCACCGGTTACCAAACATTAATAATATAGAAGCTTCTTTCTGACCTGATAGCAATTAAAGAGAAACCTCGCTGTGCTTCTATGAAAATCTGTAAAAAGCACTTGAGGTCTCTCTTAAACCTCTTCCAGGTCATATATTAAACATATTAAACATATTCCCATAATTTTTTTTCTGGCTAATTCTGTGTACATGTCTGCACTGCGATCAATGACAAATTTCGCACCGAATTGCCGTCATCATTTACATGTAGCTGCGCTCTGGTAGAGAGTGATACTTTTTTTTTTGCTGTGCGAAGGCGACAGAGCAACAATATAGCCGAATAAAAATGACAAAAGCACCCTTTGGTCTATTGAAAAACATATCTACACGAATGAAGTAATTTATAAACTTAGTCCTATTCATTCTTTAGAACAAAGTGCGTGAGTATTAATAATCTCTGCTTGCGATGTCGTGTTGGATTTATTAAAGACACACTGCATGAGATGTACCCGCCATAATGGATTTTCCCTGGAAAATATCATTTATCTATCCCTATCTGCACTTGGATTTGACCTTTGATAAAAGTTTGGTGTTAGCTTAAAATGACTAGCCAGTCATTATAGCAGCGACCATCTTCCTATATGCTTCCTATGTAAATATCAACATCAAGTACGCTCCAGAATAAATCATTTGAGGGCTTAAATCGTTTTTTAATGTGTATGTAAGATTTATAAGAAGCTGTGGTTGGCAAAAATAAGTACTTGGGGAAATTTTTCAAACTAGTGGAGTGAACCTTAAACCGTGAAACCGCACGTGGTACCGTGACAAGAGTGGATCCTCAACCAGTCGTGTACATTTATATTAAAAAAACAAAAAACAAAGGGACATTACTTCCTGCCATTCTTTTTTCTCGACAAGAAAAAGCACAATTTCTCCCTCTCACGAACCATTGCTCGACCCATATGTACACATAGAAAAAATAATAAATAAATAAATAAATAAATAAATAAATAAATAAATAAATAAATAAATAAATCTTCAGAACTTCAGGTGAAAAAAATTAGTGTGTATTCGTATGATAAATTACCAGCACAATAAACACGTACTAAAGGTCAAACATAAGAGAAAGGAAGGAGCAAGGACAAACACAAAACAAGATATTATGGTGAAATGAGAGAACACAATAAGCATTTGGGTAAATTTTCAAACCAATGGAGTGAACCTTTAGTTGTGACAAGAGTGGATCCTGAGCCAATCTTGTACATTTATATTAAAAAAAGGGACTTTACTTCCTTCCATTTTTTTTCTCGAGAAGAAAAAGTACAATTCCTCCCTCTCACGAACCATTGCTCGACCCACATAGAAAATAATAATACATGTAAGATAAATAATTAAATCTTAAAGAATTACAGGTGAAAAAATTAGTGTGTATTCGTATGATTAATTACCAGCACAATATACACGTACTAAAGGTCAAACATCAGAGAAAGGAGGGAGCAAAGACAAACACAAAACAAGATATTATGGTGAAATGAGAGAACAAAAAACGTATTCAAAGGTGATACAACGTCCTGGGTGTTTATTAAAAAATTGAACAGTGAAGTTACTATCCCAATTTCCACGCACGGAGGGTCTTAACCAAATGAAATCCAGGACGTGAGAGGACAGACAGCAATACGGCTTGGAATGTCATTTTTAATTCTCTTCCTCAAGGCTGTCACAGAAAACAGTGCTATCATCGTGTTGTTCGTGTTTAGGAGAGACCCGG